CGTCTACGACTCGCATCTACGAGTCATCATGGCAGGCGTTCTGTCGCTGGAGTGCCAACCAGCACATCGACCCCACGTCAGCTACTACTCGGGACATCCTGCGGTTCCTACAAGCTGGTCTAGAAAGCGGCCTGGCCCCGGCAACCCTACGGAGACAGACAGCGGCCTTGTCAACAGTCATCACATGCCCGCCGTACCAATCCCTCGCGCACCACCCGCGCATCAAGGAGTTTCTGCATGGGGCCACCAACCTGCGACCCCCCACAGTACACCGTTACCCTTCATGGGATTTGCCTCTCGTGTTGCGGGCACTGACCGAGGCCCCCTTTGAGCCCCTAGACTCGAGCTCGCTGAAGTACCTATCATTTAAGGTGACCTTCCTACTGGCGATCACCTCAGCGAGAAGGGTCTCAGAACTAGCAGCTCTTTCTGTCCGCAAGGACTTATGTATCTTCCACGACTCAACCGTGACGCTACGTCTGGATCCCGCCTTTATCCCAAAGGTCAACTCGTGGTTCCACCGAGCCCAGGAGCTCATCCTGCCAGATTTCTGCCCTTCACCTCGAGATCCCAGAGAGAAGAGGTGGCACACTCTAGACGTTCGACGCGCCGTCCGCATTTACATTCGACGGACCGCTCCCTTCCGTCGTACGGAGGGTCTCCTGGTCTCATTCAACCCGAAGTCCATGGGTCAGAAGATTTCAGCAGCCACGGTCAGCAGATGGATCAAGGCCTGCATCGCCTTGGCATATGACCTGTCCTCCAAACCGGGTCCCGGCAAGATCCTACCGCACTCGACTCGCAGCGCGGCCACCACGGCGGCTTGGGCCACTCAAGCCTCGGTCGTGGACATCTGCAGAGCTGCGACGTGGTCGTCCCTCACACCGTTCATCCGACACTACAAGATCGATGTGTTCAACTCGGCTGAGGCATCGTTTGGCCGCAGAGTACTGCAGAAGGTGTTGTCGGAGGAGGACTCTGGAGGCAGTCAGCTTCCCACCCAGGGAGTTTAAGCTTGGGTATATCCCATGCATGGATAGTGGGAGCAGCGCACAGGAAAATGGACGTTGTCTTACCTGAACGTCCCTTTTCTGGGCGCTGCGTACACTATCCATATCCCGCCCGTTAGGGCTGACTGCCCCTGTTTATGACTGAGACTAGCTCTCTTTTTCCCATTACGTTAATTTGAGTTAATAAAGTTGAGTTTATAAGTTACGCATAGTGTGGTTTCTTGTCTGCTGCGCCTTCGTTCAGACTGGGGGATCATGGGATCAGAGGCGTGGCTTGGGAGCCGGAAAGGGGAGGAAAAGTCTTTTGTTTTCACTCAGTTGTTTGCCAAGCACTGAAGGATTAACCCATGCATGGATAGTGTACGCAGCGCCCAGAAAAGGGACGTTCAGGTAAGACAACGTCCAGTCTAAGTGCTATTGCTATATCGCTTTACAGCCCTCTCTTAAGCAGTTTAAAGAGTCAGCCTCTTGCCCCCAACAATCTGGGTCCTCATTTTACCAACCTCGGAAGGATGGAAGGCTGAGTCAACCTTGAGCCCATGAGACTCGAACTCCTGGCTGTGGGTAGAATCAGCCTGCAATGCTGCATTCTAATCCCTGTGCAAGGAAGGAAGGAAGGAAGGAAGGAAGGAAGGAAGGAGGGAGGGGGGAGGGAGGGAAGGAAGGAAGGAAGGAAGGAAGGAAGGGAGGGAGGAAGGAAGGAAGGAAGGAAGGAAGGAAGGAAGGAAGGAAAGAAAGAAAGGAATAGCAATAGCCCTTAGAGTTATATACCTGTGAAGCGGTATATAAGTCTAAGTGCTATTGCTATACCACTTTCCATCCCTCTCTGAGCGGTTTACAGAGTCAGCCTCTTGCCCCCAACAATCTGGGTCCTCATTTTACCCACCTCGGAAGGATGGAAGGCTGAGTCAACCTTGAGCCTGGTGAGATTCGAACTGCCAAATTGCAGGCAGACGTCATTACAAACTGTTTGTAGCAGCAGCCACTAATCGGTGGAAACTCAACATTTTGAAATGGTTTTGTTGATCCGTGCGTCATCGCGGACATCCATCTGTTTTGGATGCGCGTCGTAGGTAAATTAGCTATCTTCGCAACCGAACCAACAACAGCGCTATCTTTGTTTGTCTGTTATTCTTGACATTTTCTTTTCAAGCTTTTGTTACCACGGTGAGCCTCTGCTAACTATATCAATATTGGGATAGGGGTGGTGCTCCCGGTTTCGAAAGACAGTCCTCCTTCCTCAAGTCATGGGTCTCTTCCTCTCGTTTTTCGCAATATGTGAGGATAGTCACATGCTAGTTTGCCAAGTCTCGAAAGAGAGGTTTAAGATAAGGGCATAATCCTATTTTGGTTAATTTCTTCTCTTTTTTTTTTCTGTTTAAAATTTTGCAGTGACAGCTACAATTGATTGATTGATTGATTGATTGATTGATTGATTGGTTCGATTTATATGCCGCCCTTCTCCGGAGACTCAGGGCGGCTTACAATGCGTTAAGCAATAGCCTTCATACTTTTGTATATATCTGCTTAGTAGGGCTTTCGCCCCCCCACCCCCTTAAGCAGTGTTCTTTTTTATACAAAGTCAGCTTATTGCCCCCACAATCGGGGTCCTCATTTTACCTACCTCGTAAGGATGGAAGGCTGAATCAACCTTGAGCCTGGTGAGATTCGAACTCGCAGTAATTGCAGGCAGCTGGCAGCTAAGTGCTACTTAACAGCACTTTAGTCCGCTGCGCCACCAAGGCTCTTTCCATTACTTGCTTACGTTTGGCTGCAGTTGTAGGGAACGGTACTGTCTTTCTACTTGATGCTCCTTTCTAGCTGCAGTGGGCTGTGCGATGGAAAACGTACGATATAATCTGAATTAACAGAATAGCAGAGTCGGAAGGGACCTTTAGAGGTCTTCTAGTCCAAACCCCTGCTCAGGCAAGAAAGCCTATAATCCCTGATGGCAAACCTATGGCACGCGTGCCACCGGTGGCACGCGGAGCCATATCTGTGGGCACGCTCGCGTTGCCCTAGCTCAGCTCCACCAGCCAGCTAATCTTCGGGCCTTCCGGGCCCACCGGAAGTTGGGAAACGGGTCATTTCTGGCCTCCGGAGGGCCTCGGGAGGGGGGGAGGGCATTTTTGTCCTCCCCGGGCTGCTAGAAAGTCTCTGGAGCCTGGGGAGGGTGAAAAACAGGCCTACCAGGCCCACCGCATGCCAAAAGGGGGAGGAGCGCAGGGGGTTGCATGCGCATGCATAGGGTGCATAGAATTATGGATGTGGGCACACGTGCATGTGACTCCCCCCACTTTTGGCTCCCCCCACTTTTGGGATGGCAAAAGGGTTAGCCATCACTGGCCTATACCATTTCAGACAAATGGTTATCCCATCTCTTTAAAACTTCCAGTGTTGGAGCATTTACGACTTCTGGTGGCAAGTCGTTCCACTGGTTAATTGTCCTCACTGTCAGGAAATTCCTCCTTAGTTCTAGGTTGCTTCTCTCCTTGGTTAGTTTCCATCCATGGCTTCTTGTCCTGCCCTCAGGTGCTTTGGAGAAGAGCTTGACTCCCTCTTCTTTGTGGCAATCTGGCATGGGAGAGTTACATGGTACACAGGTAGTCCTCGACTTACAACAGTTCATTTTTAGTGACCCTTTGAAACTACGACGACACTGTAACCTAATGACGGTTTTTCACACTTAACGACCGTTGCAGCATCTCCACGATCAAGTGATCAAAATTCGGACGTTTGGCAAACTGACTCATATTTATGACGGTTGCAGTGTCCCGGGGACGCTGTAACCGTCATAAATGCGAGTCAGTTTGCCAAACATCCGAATTCTGATCACGCAACCGTGGAGATGCTGCAACGGTCATTAAGTGTGAAAAAAAGGTCATAGGTTACATTTTTCAGTGCTGTTGCAACTTTGAACCGTCGCTGAGTGAGCTGTGGCAAGTCAAGGACTCCCTGTAGAAGGATCTGCCGAGCAGAATGCCTCGATTAAAATCTGTCGTTGCCTGCGAATGTAGTAACCGCGGGTTTAAAAATGGAAGATTTTTTTTTAAAAAATAAAAGGGTTATTATAAGAAGTGGTTTTTTAAAAATTTTAAGAGCTATTTTAAGGGGGAAAACTTAATGGATGCAAGCGTGCTGAGGCCTACTCAGAAATTATGACCTCTCTTCACACACATTGCTTAATAGAGAGAAAGAGAAATTATATTATGTCATCTATTTATTTTGAATTTCCAACCTCACTCAAGGCAAGTCAGTTACCAGGGACACAAATACTGAATTTTTACCATTGCCTTCCTGAGGGTGACTCTCCACAGGCAGTCCTCGACTTACAACAGCTCATTTAGTGACCGAAGTTACAGAGGCGCTGAAAAATGCAACCTATGACCGTTTTTCACACTTAACGACCATTTCAGCATCCCCATGGTCATAGGATCAAAACTCAGACTCTTGGCAACTGATTCGTATTTATGAGGGTTGCAGCGTCCCCGGGGGTCATGCAATCGATCCCCTTTTGCGACCTCCTGACAAAGTCAGTGGGGGGAGGAGCCCGATTCACTTAACAACTGGGGCAAGAAGGTCGTAAAACGGGGCAAAACCCGCTTAACTGCCCCACTCAGCAAGAGAAATTTGGGGCTCCATTTGGGTCGTAAGTCGAGGACTACCTCTATAACATAGTGCCGAGAATGCTGGCTGGTATTAAATCTGAATTCTCTTGTGAAAAGTCAAACAGAGGAATTGTCGTTTTTCCAGATTTTTCCCAGTTTTTAGCTATCCTCCTCCATACCTCCTTGTAGTAAATCTGTAGCAAGACAAGAGGAAGAGAAAGTGGGGGGGGAAGACGACTGTTAGATAGTTTGACTTTGAGGCGATAACGAAAGTAAAAACAACACGCAGTGTTTTCCTGAATATTACAATCGATTATTTTGGCTGATGTGGTTAATATGCTTTTTTTTTTCTTCTTCTTCTTTTTCTCTGCTCTGCTTGTAGGAGCTTGAAGAAATCCGCAAATGTGGAATGAAGAATTTCCGTAATATCCAGGTGGACGAAGCTAACTTATTGACTTGGCAAGGGCTTATTGTTCCCGTGAGTGAAACAAACCTCTTGTAATTGTTAAAATGCACCAGAGCTCTGGTGAATTCTTTAATTTTCCTTAAATACCCTGAGTTGGTCCATGCAGATACAGGTTGAGTGAATCTGTGGATTTCCCGGAGTGAAGAAGAAAAAAAAAAATTCTGTGCACATTTCCGAGGAATGCCACCCGAATAATTAAATTAGCTGCCATCCATCTTTGGATTAAAAGAAAAGTACTTATAATTTATAAAGCCTTTAAACCTCTAAATCATTGTGCAGTGGTTAAAATTTAAAAAGAGAAGCTCCTATCATTGTGCAGCTAACAAGACACAACAGCAAAGAAAGAAAAAAATACTGTGTTTCTCCAAAAATAAGACCCTGTCTTATATTTTTTTGAACCCCAAAATAAGCGCTTGGCCTTATTTTCGGGGAGGTCTTATTATTTTGGGGCGCGTGGAGCAAGACGGGGCTCCTTTTGCCATCTTTTCTGATTTCCAGCTCCGTCTCCCTAACCCGAGGAAATGGCGGGGACTGGCTGTGCATGCATTTAAATATTTTCAGGGAGGGGTTATTTAAGTGCATGCGATGAAAAGCCCAGTTGGGCTTATTATCAGGGGATGTCTTATTTTCGGGGAAACGGTAGATAATGAAGGAGAAATGAAAGCGAGGAAAAGCACACCACAACTCTTAAAAACTTCAAAATGGCCCTTAGAATAGCCAGCTAAAATAGCAACTAAGGAGACGGTGATGTGGATTTATTTCTAGCACCCTCCTGAGAATCCCAGCATTGAACGTAATATGCAGGTACAGGAAATGTAGAATTTATTTCAAGAAATTTAGATTTCATTCCCTATCACAGAATCTATCCCTGTCCCTCACATCCCCACAGGTATTGGGCAGGACAGGAAATGCTCTCTTAAGGCAGTCCTTGGCTTACAGCCATTCATTTAGTGACCATTTAAAGTTAACAATGGCACTGAAAAATGACTGACGACCGTTGCAGCGTCTCCGTGGTCACGTGATCAAAATTTGGGCGCTGGGCAACTGGCATGTACTTACGACTGTTGCACGATCCTAGGGTCACGTGATCATTCGTAACCTTCCCAGCCGGCCTCCCAACAAGCAAAAGCCAATGGGAGAAGCTGAATTCACTTACCGACTGCACGATTCATTTAACCATTGCAGTGAATCGCTTAACAACCCTGGGGGAAAAAAAATCGTAAAACGGGGAACAACTCACTTAACAGCCGTTTTGTTTAGCAACAGAAATGTTGGGCTCAATTGTGATCGTACGTTGAGGACTTACCACCAACTTGTCATTCTTGGTTTCAAAAGCCATTTCCTTTATGGCCCCAAGAGCCACTTTTCCAAATGGTAAAGTCTCCTTGAACACGAGGACTAGCTGCATGGCTGGACAGCTAAATTCCAGGTCTAAAGATCTGCCCCGCGTAAAATTTTAAACCCATTCTTAATGATTTTCAAGCTTCGTGTCTCTTTGGAGAAGCAACATCCCCAGTTATCATGGAGTTTCTTCTTTCCTTGCCTCCTTGCAGATCGAATTCCAAATTCCATTTCTTCTTTTGTTTAAAACAAAAGAAGAAGAAAAATTCAAAGAAGGGAGTAAGGTTTCAAGTTGTTATCTAACAGAAAAAAATAGAACCCACAACTCTGGCTCATTTCACTCCCTAAGAGTTGGCTTTTTCATTTGATAAAGGCTTTGATTTCCTTCTGATAAAGGCAAGAATGGTTTTGTCAAAGGATAAATCAAGGCTGTGAGGCCGGAGGGACAACATGATACGTTACCGGGAGACACCTAGAACAAAGAACGCTAAACTCACAATGTACGTCACACCTTGCAGCATACAAACCTCTGGTGCTCCCCTTCCTTGTGTTGAGCCAAGAGACTACCCCGTCAGCAGCCGAAATGTTGGAACTCAAAGGCACCTGAGGACACGTGAGGTTGGGACATGCTCGCCCTGTCCGTCTTGGTGTCATCTAAGGAACGTTTTTAATGCACCAAACCTGGTCCCTCTTAACTCCTAAAGAAAGATAGTCCTGGACTTAACAGCAGTTTGTTTAGTGACTCTTCAAAGTTACAACGGCGCTGGGGGAAAAAAATGACTTACCGCGTTTTCCTGAAAATAAGACCCAGCCGGAAAATAAGCCCTAGCATGATTTTTCAGGATGCTCATAATATAAGCCCTATCCCAAAAATAAGCCCCGGTTAAGATCATCAGCCAGATGGACACATCCAGTACTGTATTTCCACAAAAACAAGATCTAATGCGTCTTTTGGAGCAAAAATTAATATAAGACCCGGTTTTAATATAAGACGAGCTTATCCCAGGCTCCTCCCACCCCCACCCCAAACAAATCTTGAATGGGTTACTCTCCCAGAATGAAGGAGTGTGTATTTTCCATTCACACACTAAATACTGTATTTTTCGGGCTATAAGATGCACCTAAATTTAGAAGAGGAAAACAACAAAAAAATGTTTTTGGCCTCCCGTTTTTCGGGCCTTTTCCCGGGGATTTTTTTTGGCCCATTTTTGAGACTTCTTTTTGGCCAGTTTTGGAGGCTTTTTTCGATTCGGTTTCAAGGCTTTTGGGGGGCTTTTTTGGCCCAGTTTTAGGCTTTTTTCAGCCTGTTTTCAAGGCTTTTTTTTGCCTTTTCCACATCTTATTTTGGCCCATTTTCGAGGCTTTTCTTGGCCTGTTTTTGAGGCTTTTTTGGCCCATTTTCAGGGCTTTGGGGGGGGGCATTTTCGAGGCTTTTGGGGACTGTTTTGAGGCTTTTTTGGCTTCTTTTCGGGACTTTTTTCGGCCTGTGTTTGAGGCTTTTGAAGCCGAAAAAAGCCTTGAAAACAGGCTGAAAAAAGCCTTGAAAACAGGCCGAAAAAAGCCTCAAACACAGGCCGAAAAAAGCCTTGAAAACAGGCTGAAAAAAGCCTCAAACACAGGCCGAAAAAAGCCTCAAATACAGGCCGAAGAAAGGGCCTGGAAAAGGCCAAAAAAAGCCTCAAAAATGGGCAAAAAAAAAGGCCTGGAAAAGGCCAGAAAACAGGGCATGCAGAAGCTAAAAAAAATGGCAAAAGTGCATCATAGTCTGAAAAATACAGTATATCTTTGAATAGAGGTTTTTTTTTTTAAAAAAACAAAAATTGTCAAGTTGTATCTTGCAATTCTGTTGCAGAATAATGGGCGGCTTTTATTATTTTTATTTTTTAACAAATCACTGCTTTAAGAATAATAAACTGTTTTATCCAGATGCTAGTTTTACAAGATAATCCTTCCTGCAGGCTTTTATCGGTAAATTCCTAATCGCTCTGTCTTCCGTAAACAATTCTGTCATTTGTATTGAATCTGTCCGTGTGTGAACACTCCTTGGTGGGATATGTTAACACAGGCAAACTTTTATTTTACTTAAAGTAGTTAAATAAACTAACCGGGCCGCTGACAACCTCAAGAATGAAACAATATGGACAACAATAAAAACAAGAGAAACAGTATAAAAAAAAAACAAACCCAGAGTGAATATTCAGTTAAGAAACCCACCTTCCCATTTTTTTCAGGAGGTTGCATAAAACTAACTGAATCCTGCTGATAAAGATTGCAATATGTGAGCTTTTTAAAAAAAACAAATTAAAAAAAAAACAAAATAAAGTGAGTCGCATTGCCAAAAATGGGGGGAGGGGGGGAAGCAGGGAAGGGAGAGTTAAGAAAATATTTTGAAAAGACTAGATTTAGATCTAAAAACAAATCACTGATAGTAAAACAAACCCACAAAGGATTTTCTGTTCCCTTCGTTCTCAACTTTGAAGCACCTTTTCTTCTAAGGCACCGCAAGAGTCCTTTTAAAAGAATCCTTTAAAAAGTTATTTTTAAGTGATGGATCTTGTACAGGTAAATCCTTGACTTTACAGCCGCAATTGGGCCCAAAATGTATGTGGCTAAGCGAAACATCTATATTAAGTGAGTTTTCCCCCCATCTTACAACCTTTCTTGCCACAGTTGTTAAGTGAATCACTGCAGGTGTTAAGTTAGCAAGACGGCTGTTAAGTGAGTCTGGCTTTCCCATCGACTCAGAAGGTCACAGAAGGGAATCACATCTTCTTTTAACAACCCCATAATCCGTTGCGGGGTGGAATCTGTGCAACTGAATGGAGCTGAGTGTTTACTGCCCAGATGCCCTTCCGGTCGCCAGTGCGGAGTTATATTCAGCAGATAGAATTCTCATCGTGCCCAGAGAGAGAGAAAGATCTGCCTCTACCTAGGATCGAACTCACAGCCTCCTGATTGTGAGGCGAGAGCTCCACCTCTAGGCCACCGCACCACTCTACAAAAGGGGATCACATAACCCCTGGGATTTTACAACTGTCGTAAGTACATGCCAGTTGCCGAGTTTGTTCACATGGCCATGGGGATGCTGCAATGGTCATAAGTGTGATAAATGGTCACAAGTCACTTTTTTTCAGTGCCATCGTTAACTTAGAACGGTCGCTATAAACAAACGGTTGTAAGTCGAGGACTGCCTGTATATCTGACCCCCATCTTCCCGCTTTCCATTCGGCCTTTCCTCTGAATTCATTCTCTGGTTGTCTTGGGCTGCTTTTCAGACCGCCTGTGTTGCTTCTTTTAGGACAACCCTCCATACGACAAGGGGGCGTTCAGAATCGAAATCAACTTTCCTGCAGAGTATCCATTCAAACCTCCCAAGATTACATTTAAAACGAAAATCTATCACCCTAACATCGATGAAAAGGGGCAGGTTTGCCTGCCAGTAATTAGTGCTGAAAACTGGAAACCAGCTACTAAAACTGATCAAGGTAAGCGATCTCCAGCCACTTTGGGCCTGTCGATTTCTATACTAGATCTTAATTTTGGGAAGGGGTTTTGCTCCGTGCTGGATCTCCGAGCACAAGCATGCTGGGCTGATTTAAATCTTGTTGATGGGATCACTTAGGAGGGCGAATGACTTCTGATTTTTCTCACTCTTCCCTCCAGGGTGGATTTGATTTAAATCGAGTTGATTTAAATCACAATTTAAATCATGATTTAAATCACTAGTAAAAAGGCTTGATTTAAATCAACTCGATTTAAACCCTAATTTTTAAAGAGCAACTGTCATCTCTGCTACTCCTTTGACCCACAGTTGACTCACCGATAGTCCCAGTGTTGCAGAATACACAGCCTCCTGCTACGTAACTAAGCTCCATTTCATGCTGAATAAACTAAATTATTTATGTATCTTAAATAGAAAACTATCTTACGATAGATTTTTACCCCAAAAGTTTATTAAAATAAATTCGATAAAAATCAAAAAAATCCGATTTAAATAAAAAAAATCCGATTTAAATAAAAAAATCTGATTTTTTTGATTTTTTTAAAAAAAATCATTGATTTTTATCCACCCTGCTTCCCTCCCTAGCTTAGTTTAAAACCTGAATTTATCACAAAAGATAAAAAGAGGAGAGATTTCCAGGCAGCTACATCTGAAAACGATTTGTCCAATATTCAAGGCGTGTACAGTCGACCTTGTTCATCATATCTCTTGAATAAAACCCCAGCTAGGTGGCTGGAAGGTGTTTTAATACGCTTTCAGCCAATTCCTAAATGGTTTATTCTAATAGTCCAAGATGAGCTAGATATTCCTCATCCAGCATTTTTTTATTTACACGTGCCCTTGAGTATGGATTCAGAACTGAGTTTCTCTCTTCGTTTCTGCGAGGCAAAGCTTTACACACATATTATTTTGCACACACACAAAGCAGTTCATTCATAAATCTGAATATATCGCCATTACAGTGGCTGATCCGGTTAATTAAATATACCAGTGAAGATGGTCGTATGTATGTAATGGCTCCAAATGTAATATTTCTTCCATTTTGCTTTAGCACGTTCCAGTCAATGGTGGTTTATTTAAGCCAACCGTGGCCAAAGGCCGCACTCAACCGTTAAGGACAAAGTTGAGGAGCCTAAAAAAGCATCAATAATAGGGTGAAGATTTTCATTTCCGTTTGCGTTCAATTCAGATTTAAACACGATGTCATACATGACACCTTTTCGGTTCAATACGTGCATCGGAAACTCCTAGTTCTCTCCCATTAAAAAAATAGAATTTGGAAAACATTTACAGTTTATTGTCATTGCACATGGTACAACGAAATTAAATGCCGTCTTCAGTGTACATTCTAACTATAAAAATAAAAACACAAAACATACATCCTTTACATTCTATATAATTGAAATTGAAAACCCGATATCGCACTATACCGTAGAATTCAATATGGTTATTGCCCTGGGATAGAAGCTGTTTTTCAGCCTATTTGTCCTTGTTTTTATTGCCCTGTACCGGCTGCCAGATGGTAATAGTTCAAAAAAAAAAAATGGGTACCCAGGATGAGATGGATCTTTAAGAATGTTTTGAGCTTTCTGAAGGCAGCGGGAGCTATAAAAGCTCTTCCAAAGAGGGGAGAGGGCAACCCATGATCCTCTGGGCAATGACGTTGACCCTCTGGAGCGCTGTCCTACCTGCCACTGGGCAATTGGCAAACCAGACACAGGTGCGGTAAGTTAAAATACACTCTATGGTGCAGTGGTAGGAGGTCCCCAGCAGTTTTCCATTCAGTTTCCTGAGAAGTCTCGGGTAGTATAATCTCTGCTGGGCCCTTTTGACCAGTGCTGCAATGTGAGAGCCCCAGGTCATTGGTGGAGGACTTAAAAGTGTCATTCCCAAGGATTCCGAGTGCCATCTGCTCACAATCGCCTAGAACAGCGAGATGGGTGGCAAATTAAATTTGATAACCAATCTATTACCAAGCAATAAAATCTCGGGATCTGCGAATCGATGATTCTGCGGCTCTCTTTCCCGGCCACGCTGATCTCTCTTTTTCTCCCTTCCTTCCTTCCTTCCTTCTTTCTTTCCCCCCTCTTTCTTTCTTCTTTCTTTCCTCCCTCCCCTCCCCTCTTTTTTTTTTTTTCTTTTTCCTTTTTTCCTTTCTCTCGACAGTAATCCAGTCCCTCATAGCCCTGGTGAACGATCCTCAACCAGAGCACCCCCTTCGAGCCGACTTAGCCGAAGAATACTCTAAGGACCGTAAAAAATTCTGTAAGAATGCTGAAGAGTTTACAAAGAAATATGGTGAAAAACGACCAGTGGACTAAACAAAAAAAAAAAAAAGACGACAACAACAAAAACAAAACACAACAAAAACAACAACAAAAACAAAAAAACACCTGACCGAGTTTGATGTCAGCAATGTGTGATAGAAGAGCTGAAGAAGTGCATTTCAGACACAATCCCCAAAGCAGGACTCTCTATGGAAATTGACAAGTTATCACCTCTTGGTGTTTTAACTTGTGGCTGTTAAAACTAACTTTCTACCGTTTCTTAATCAAAAGTGGTCTAGGTAATCTGTAAAGAAAGGATTAAAAATTTAAGATGTTCTAGTTCTGCTTTCTTTGTTTAAAATCACTGCTTTAATGTACTTTTAAAGAATGCTGTTTCTTTTTCTTTTTTCTTTTGTTTTTCTCCTCACAATTTATCAGAAAGTCTTAGGCTTATAACTCGCCCTTAAAATTCAGGTCGCGGCTGTTATTTCTTATTTTCCTTTACAGTTCTCTTTTTGTTTTCCTCCATCATTTCTTGGTTGCCCCTTATCCTTCCCTCTTCCCTTCTTCCTCCTGTCCCCCCACCCCACCCCATCCCCCAAGACAGAAGAAAACAAAACCACACGTAACTTAATTTCTAAGAAAATAGAAAGACATTTTTTTTGGGGGGGGGGGAATTAGCTGTTTGTTTTTCCCTGTCTTAAACTTTGCACTGTTTCGTGGACGTGGGTCCAAGGTGTATTTCTTTTCTTTTTTTCTCAACTTAAGTTTGTCACACCAAAAAAAACACCCACCAGAATCAACCCCAGAACTGTTGTAAATCTGGCTGATGTGGTTACGATAATGTTTATTAAAACGGGGAACTCCAAGCATTGCGTGCATGAATGAATTTTACCACGTGGCTTGCGTTTCTGTTTTAAGGGGAGGAAATTTTGGCGCGAAATATTCTATAGGAAAGGAATAGCGGAGTGTAATTTTCTTTCTCTCCCCCCCTCCTCTTTTTTTTTTTTAAAAAAATTACTCTTCACTTTTATTCTTTAGTATCTATGCAGGCTACCTAGAATAAAGACGGACTCAAGTCCAATTTGTGAGAATTTCAAATATGGGACCAAGAGGTACCAAAAGCAGAACTAATCTACCAACCAAGCAAAGCTAGCTCCTTATTTTGTTATCCTTCCTAGCTGAGAGACTTAACTGGGGAAATCCTTCTCGAAAACTTAAGTTCCGAAGAACAGAAACCTAGCCACACAAAAAAAATCCTCGCCATTTACCTCTTTTTCCCTGTGCAAAACGACAAAAGCTTAATTTTCTCCTAATAATAGATTGGTTTGATCGATCGTCATCCAAAACGTAAGCGATTTCCATTAAGCAATAACCCGTGCCCATCGCGAAATTGAGCAGTTGCCTTTCCCCGTTTAAAAAAAAAAAATACCCGTACATGAAATATGGCATTCTAAGGATTAAACATTGATTCGGCGAAGTTTTAATTCAACCCCAGCTGTCCCCGCTCCAAGTTAAGGGGTTCTTTCCCCGCGGAGATCCGAACCACCCCGTTTAATGTTGTGTCGCGTTTTAAGGTGGGCAAAAATGCAACTTGGGTTACGTGACATAGTGACTCTTTCCCTCTGGCTGCTCAGTTTTAAAATGCCTGGCTTTTAAGTGAGCATTTTCAACCCCATTTCTCCGAAACCTGCAGTGAAGAACAAAGTGCGTAACCGTTTCTCTCTTGCATGTCTTCGCTTTCATTTAGATCTCTCGGCATTTCCGGTGGGTTTTTTAATTTTTTTTTTTCCAGGAATCTGGAATCCTTGTTCGGTCTTTTTGCCATTTTTAGGGAACTGAATGTATGGTTGGAGAAGCCGTAGAAATAGCATTTCCAGTTTTAATTATTATTATTATCATTATTATTTTGCGTACACCTTTCCATCTCCTCCACTCCAGCTTTTTGATTTTAAACTGTACAAGATTGACAGCCAGGTACCTCTGTTTGAAAAGTAGAAAGAAAGGGAAAAAAAGAAAGTTTTCTTTTTTCTTTTATTTTTTTCCTTATCAGTTGGGGTATGAAACATCTCTGTTTTACGTGTTCTTAGACACATTCTTTGGTAGGCGATTAAAGTTTAAAAAAAAAATACCTTTAATGGACACTTGCATTTCCTTAATTGTGTGTGTAGGCTTGTCTATTACCGAAATCTCCACAACTTTTGTGTCTTCATTTGCAGAAAGTTGGAACTGACTTTGTTTCATTCACGCTCACTCCGATTCAAAATAAACAAAAAAAAAAAAGCCAAATTTTACCTGTCAAACTGAAGTGTATGTAAAATCCTGCCTTGCATGACATTGAAAAAGAACATTTGTCTTTTCTTTTTTTCCTTTTTTTTTTTTTTAGTTGTTGTTCCCTATGCAACCCTGTAAGTCTTTTTACTTCGATATTGGGGCGAGGGGGGGGGAATCGATTTCTCTCTCTTTAAATTGCAAACATTTCGAATCAAATTGCAAACATGCCCACGGGTGATTTTGGAGCAGGGAATGCAAACTAATAATAATAATAATAATTTAAGGGACTGTCATTCAGAATCCCCTTCTTATCTTGGTTAATTTGAACCACAAGAGTCTACTAATTTTTCCCCTGTGGGTCAGATTCCTGCATTCAACCCATAAGTGTCAGCTGCATTTGTGCAAATAACACAACACCTGTCCCTCTATCTTTAGCTATAACCACTAGTGATCTACAAACTCATCTTATGGATGTTATCTTATTATCTTCCCCTTTTCTGGCTAACAAAATGTAATTTCCCAAGCTATAGCTACAGCTAAAATAGCCGTGCTTCTATCACAGAACATCTTAAAATATGCCAGCCCTCTCCCCTCCACTTTTCTGTAAGAGATTCCCTGTTCCCCTTTCATCTTCCCATGGGAAGATCTACCCACCCATCCCCAAACGGGGGCTGCAAAAACTCAAAAAAAACCCGCAAGATTTACAACGCGGTGCAAAAAAATGGCCCGAGCCTCACACAAAACCCAGGGAAGTTATGAATAATTTTGAAGAAGAGATTGATGGCCTGTTTCGATATGCCCGAGAGGTGATTTTAGGGCATAGAATTAGAGCTGGGAGGGACCTTGGGAGGTCTTCCAGTCCAGCCCCCTTCTTCAAGGTAGGAAATCTTATACATCCAGGCCAAGGATTTGTTCAGTCTAGTTTTGAAAACTTCCCGTTTTCATTTCTATAAGAGATGTGAGCAGATGGGACTCGCCCCAACCAATTTTTTTTTTCAGCTGCTTGGTGATTCTTTGCTTAACTGACAGTTGGGGTGCTGTCTGTCCCGGCTATTTGTACTGTCCGTAGGAACAAATTAGCTTTGTTAGATTAGATTTTAAAGCCATATAATGGCTTAAAGGTTTGCGTCCCGTGCCAAATGAGCAAATTTGGACCACGTGACAGTGGGGTTGCTGTCGTAAGTGCAAGGACCAGCCAGGTGCAAGTCACTTTTTTTCAGTTCCGTTTTAATTTTGGTTGCTAAATGAATGATAAATTGAGGACTGACACTGTGCAGTATTTTTGAAATAGTGACTTTTTGATGGATTACCGTATTTTTCAGAGTATAAGACGCACCGAAGTATTAAGACGCACCTACTTTTTTTGGTGAAGAAAAGAAGAAAAAGAACTCTCCCTCTGCCTCTATGCAATTTTGCAGCAAACAGCCTGCTTTACTTTCATTTTCGTTTTCAGCATAGCTTGATTAGCACAAGGGGGGAAAAAATCTGCTCCAGGATTTACCTCTTTGCAGCAAGCAGCAGAGCCCTGCCCTAAACAGCTGAGAGCAAATCAGCTGAGTCGGGAAGACGATCCAATCAACTTGTGCTAATTAGGCTGTGCTGAAACTGAAAGAAGCTGTTTTGCTGTTTGCTTGCAAGGAGGTAACTGCTGCGAGGCAGAGGCCAAAGGGTGGGGGCCAGTGGGTGGGCGGGGCTACATTCGATGTATAAGACGCACCTAAATTTTCATCCCCTTTTAGGGGGGAAAAAGGTGCGTCTTATACTCCGAAAAATATGGTAACTAAAAAACACGATTGCACTTCTGTGTGCTAAGCTGAATCCTTCCTTCTTTCTCTCTTTGCTTCTTTTTTCTTTTTCTTTCTTCTTTCTCTCTCTCTCTTTCTTTTCTTTTCACCTCGCAATCAAATCAACTTTCTTGGCATCTAACCTGGCCAATGTACGTTTGTCTTTTGTCCAAATAATCTTAAGTAGAACTAGTTAAAATGCGCAGCAAATTCTCTGTGTTTCTATTCTATAAGAACAAACCTGCCAAATAGGTTGATATAGTATATAAGATAATTAGAAAGGAGGGGTAAATATTTATTTCATCCGTCTAAAACATGGCTAAATGCTGGCATATTCTGCCATCACTGTTAATGCTCCTTTCGAATATTTTAGTTTTGACCAGTGCAGGCCAGGGAGAGAGAGGGAGTGATTGGAAGAAACTCAAAAATTTCAATTTTCCAAACCGTTCCTAACAAAATGCAGTGCTAATTAGTAGGAAATTACTTATCCATAGAAAAGAGGGTGATTTTTTTTAAGAAAAAAAAAACGCGTTTAATTCATCATTAGTCCCAGAATAATACAAGAATAAATAATAATTCAGTGTCAACAGAGAACTCAGGAAACTTGCGGGAATTACAAGAGTCACAGAATTGATTCGAATGTTTAAACAACCAGCCAAAGGAATGTAATTTCTCAAAATATAAACATTATGTCAGAGACCTATTACAGATCATTCTCAACTTACGACCGGAATTTTTCCATTGCTTAGCAAGGCGGGGTTCTTAAAGCGAATCGCACCTCATTTTACGACTTTTTTTTTTTTTTGCCATGGTGGTTAAGTGAATCACTGCACTTCTTAATCACGTCATTAAACGAATCCGGGATTCCCCATTGATTTTGCTTGTTGGAAGCCAGCTGGGAAAGTCGCAAATCGGGATCAAATGACCCCCAGGGCATTGTAACTCTGATACGCTGGTTGCTAAGCACCTGGTTGCAATAACCTGACCGCAGGGGATGCTGCAATGGCCGTAAGTACGAGGACTGGTTGCAAGTCATTTTTTCCCCAGTGCTGTTGTAACGTTAATTGGTCCCTAAACGCACGGTTGTAAGTTGAGGACTCCCTGTACAACGTGAAATAAGAAAGACAATGGAACAGCAGCTTTATATATATATGTGTGTGTGTGTGTGGTGTGTGTGTGTGTGTGTGTGTGTGTGTGTATGTATGTATGTATTTTTCTATCGAGACACCTGGTCTACCCCAGCATGTGGGAGGGAGCATACTGCATCCCTTTCGCCTTTCAGCTCCAATCCAGGAGCCCTCAAGCAGTTGCATTCACAACAAACCATTTTATACCAAATTTATATTTCGCTGATAAAGACATAAAGGGAGACTAGTATAGATCTATTTCAAGCTATTTAGCTCTCATCAGCTAGCCATACCCTTACTTGGATTCGAACTTGGGCTGCCTGCATGTTAGGCAGTTGTATTAACCTCTGAGCCACAAGTTCTCCTCCCTTCATCAGCTCCAATCCAGGAGCCCTCAAGCAGTCGCATTCACGACAAACCATTTTATACCAAATTTATATTTTGCTTTATTTCTTTATCAGATATATATATATATATATATATATATATAACTGATATAGATATAGATATAGATATATATAGATATAGATATATATGCCTACTGGATCACAGATAGGATTAAGACCAACCTGTGGAACGTCCAGGGAAAGTTTCAACTTTTAAAACAGGAAATTCACAAGTGGGGGGGGGAGGAAATAAACCTTGAAAGATGATCATCTGTACGAATGGTTTGCACTGAGCGTGTAAAAAAAAAGGGGGGGGGAGCATTTGATTGCCGAATGCAAAAAGTTTTATTTTTCAAGCCTGAGAGTTCTTAATCTGAACAACTGTTTGCTTTTTATTTATTTTTTGAGATTTTAAAAAAACTTACCTTCAACCCAAGGCTAAAAAAAAAAAAAAAAAATTTGGAACGCTCCAAACTCACTGCCTTCTAACAAGCTTTCATAACATTTTTTATTTTAAGTCTTGCAGATCGAGATGTTCTTGATTCAACCTGTTCTACTTGCTATTCAAACAAACGGGATGCTTTTGGGGTTTTTTTTTTTGGTTGTTTTTTTTTTAACTAATCCCTTTAAAAAAATCACCGCGTTACTAAGCAAGAAACAATCTAAAATAACATCGGATTCTTCCAAAATGCTTTTCTGTCTCAGAATAGAATGCGGAAAGAGAGACCTAAGTTGCTGTGTTAGCTGGGTTCCTGCAGCATGCCAAGCCATGGCTTGTTTTAATCGTGATTTGTGAAACAGGCCACAAAGCTTTACATCTGGCAGTAAAATCTAGTTGTATTAGACGAACACCCAGTGAGGCACTGATGATGTTACCTAGTTTGGTCACTAAACGTCTGCAAGGAAACTACCAACCTCAGAGAGCAGCAAGGGCCCGTGCTTTCAACCCTGAGTTACCAATATCTTCTCTCCTCTTGGTATATACCCTAAAAATTTCAGGTCTATGCTGGTGTTTTCTAGCAAGCCAACGCCGAGCGATGGCTCCTCATTCAACTTCTGCTTCTACAACCAAAAACTCTGGGAAATCCCACGCGGCTCTTCGCACGAAGACGATCGCAGTCGGAAGTTCCTTTCGTGAGATTTTTTTTTCCCCCCCTTCCATTTGCCAAAATTAAAAATTAAAATTAAAAATGAGAGGAAGGAGCCATATCCGCCTTGCAGAGAGTGCAAAAATTCCCCCGATGTCGTCTGCTCCCATCTGGAACCATCACCGGATCCGGCCATCTTCATCGAACCGACGTAAAAACGGAGCGTCAGACGGCGAGATCTTTGAAAGCGCAGAGCCGAATGTTTCGAATTTTGTAATGTTTCTGGAGCTCTGCGTTCTTCAAGGTCTGGAGTTCGTGCAGGCGTTCCCACGACTGAGAGAAGTCATCGGGGCCTTCTCCACAACCGCCAGTAGGTGGGATGCTGGGGTAGCCTGGGTGAGTCATGAGTTCGAGCGTCACTGTCCGGAGTCCTTGACCGGCAGGACGTAAGAACGAAGATGGCGGAGGAGTCGTCGTTCTGTCGTCTTTGGCCAAATGAGCTGCGATGGCGTTATCGATAGCATCTAAGATGCTTTGGGTGGACATATTTTTCCCCATGGTGCTGAGGCCGATATATATATCCGGCCACCTGAAAGACAAGAAGTTTCTTAAATTTCAGAAAGACAGGTAGCCCTCGATTTATTTAGTGACCGTTTTAAGGCAGTGATGGCTAACCTTTTTGCCATCGAGTGCCAAAAGCAGGGGGATGCGGGGGGGGGGGTCGCGCATGCGTGTGCCCACACCCAAAATTCTATGTGCCCCGGCGAACGCACATGCAAGTGCCCCCCTGCGCTCCCCCCACTTTTGGCATGCGATGGCACAGTGGGCCACCAGACTTCCGGTGGGACTGGAAGTCAGGAAATGGGCTATTTCCGGCCTCCGAAGGGCCCCCGGAGGGGTGGGGAATGCCGTTTTCGCCCTCTCCATGATCCTAGAAATGCTCTGGAGCCTGGGGAGAGCGAAAAACAGGCCTTCCGGTCCCACCTTTCCGGTCGAGAAACGGGCTGTTTCTGGCCTCCAGGGGGGTGGGGAAGGCCGTTTTCACCCTCCCCAGGATCCTAGAAAGGCTCTGGAGCCTGGGGAGAGCGAAAAACAGGCCTTCCGGTCCCACCTGAAGTCGAGAAATGGGCTGTTTCCGGCCTCCGGAGGGCCTCCAGGGGGGTGGGGAAGGCCATTTCTGCCCTCCCCAGGCTCCTAGAAAGCCTGGGGAGCCTGGGGAGGTAGTGACAAACGAGCCTTCCTCACCCTTCCAGAGGCCCTCCAGAGGCCGGAAACTGTGTTTCCTAACTTCCGGTGGGCCCAGAAAACCTGAAAATCAGCTGGCCGGGACACGCATGTGCGCCAGAGGTCAGCTCGTGTGCCCACCAATATGGCTCCGCGTGCCACAGGTTCGCCATCACGGGTATAGGTTCTTTTGCTTGAGCACGGGGCTGGACTAGGAAACCTCGAAGGTCCCTCCCAGCTCATGCATTCTATTCTTATAGATGCCCCCACCTTATGCCGTGCTTTTGAAAGACCTCTATGGTGTTCAGCGAATCCTTCTCCACTCCCAAATAGAAATCCATCAAAGTTGACTCTATCCAACCACAGCGTGGGAGATCCGGTTCGATGGGAACTCGAGTGTAAGTGATCCCATAGTCTTCTAACACCTCCGCAAATATGTGCCTGATCTCTGGAAGAGTAACCGAAGAGGAAGAAAGATTGGTAAGAAGATCCCAATTTCAGGGAAACGCGAGCATCGAAATGTTTTTGAGGAGCAGAAAGTGGACCGATCGACGCGGATCCTACTTACCTGGGAGAACATGGACGTGCTGGTGTCCATCCATGTGATGAGGTAAATGTCCCGTCAGTTCACGGAACAACTCCACTTGTGCTATTAATTCCTGCTTCACCTAAGTGTAGAAAAGCAGGAGGAGGTGTAAATTTGTTGCCACGAATATCTCTCATTTATAAAAATGAAATCTTTGGGCGAAACCTATAAAATAAACCAGGCACAACTAAACTTTCCCAATGGACATCTTGGTGAGCTCCAAAAGGAAGGGAGCCTTGATGCTCTCTGAACTTGGTTGTTTTCGAGCAGACGTTTCATTACCCAGCTAAGTAGCATCATCAGTGCTGTTTTACCTTGTTTGAGTAATGAAACGTCTGCAAGAAAATAACCAAGCTCAAGAGAGCACTAAAGATTCTACACTCCTCCTCTTCCTCCTCGTCCTCTAACGGTTAGAAGACGAGGAGGAAGAGGAGGAGTGTAGAATCTTTAGTGCTCTCTGAGCTTGGTTATTTTCTTGCAGACATTTCATTACCAAACTAGGTGATATCATCAGTGTTAGAAGAGTGTTGGGTTAGTCTAACCCAACACTCTTCTAACACTGATGATATCACCTAGTATGGTAATGAAATGTCTGCAAGAAAATAACCAAGCTCAGAGGGCACCAAAGATCCTACAGTCCTCCTCTTCCTCTCGCCCAACTCTCTTCTAACACTAATGATGTTACCTAGTTTGGTAATGAAACGTTTGCAAGAAAATAACCAAGCTCAAGCCTTACAGTCATCCTGTCTTCCTCCTCCTCCTCCTCTCGCCCAACTCTTCCGATGATGTTACCTAGTTTGGTAATGAAATGTCCGAGAAAACAACCCAACTCAGAAAGCACCAAGGGTGCTACAGTCGTCGTCCTCTCCACAAACCCCACTCCCTTGTAGCACTGATGATGTTACCTAATTGGGTAATGAAACGTCTGCAAGAAAACTACCAGCTCAGAGAGCACCAGGGACCCCTCATTTCAACCCTGGGTTACAAAGCTCAGAAATTCTCTCCGAACAACACTAAAGAGCCGTGTGATTTCCTGCCCTTCTTAACAGAGAAACACACAAGTGGTTGTGCGGGCTCCAAAACAGGGTTTGTAACAATTCAGGAAAAGAGAGATCCACAACACATTAGAAATATCTTCTTTGGTGAATTTGGCCTACACCGAGAAGAACAAACTCAACCCATTTGAGTTGCCTGGCTCGACATGGGCATCCTTCACGACGTATCTCAACCACCACCTTTGAAAGAGTAGGCGGACGTATGTTTCCAGAGGTGGGATTCAGCCGGTTTGCGTGAACCGGATGCTAATTTTACATCTGGTTTGCTGAACAGGTAGTTACAAGGACTGGCTGTCCCCATCCACCCCGCCCCACCCCTATCAGGAGTTCTCCACGCAGCCCGTTTTGGATGCCAGGTAAGTGCAGGGGCCGTGCAGAGACTCTGGGAGGGCGAAAACGGGCCCATTTCCGGCCTCTGGAGCCCGGGGGAGGCCATTTTCACTCTCTCAGAGGCTCAGGAAAGCCTCCGGAGCCTGGGGAGGGTGAAAAACAGGTCTACCGGAAATACCGGAAGTCCAGAAACGGGCTCATTTCCGGCCTCCGGAGCCCGGGGGAGGCTGTTTTCGCTCTCCCAGAGGCTCGAGAAAAGCCTCTGGAGCCTGGGGAGGGTGAAAAACGGGCCTACCGGAAGTCCAGAAACGGGCCCATTTCTGGCCTCCAGAGCCTGGTGGAGGCAGTTTACACCCTCCCAGAGGCTCGAGGAAAGCCTCCAGAGCTTGGGGAGGGTGAAAACACACATGCCCCCCCCACGCCATGGTGCAAGAGGCCGAATAAGCCACGCCCACCATGGCCACACCCACCCAGCAACCAGACAAAGAACCGGTTGCTAAAATTTTTGAATCCCACCGCTGTAATGTTTGCCCGGCTTCTCCTCACCTCAACCATGCTAAGAAGTCCTTTGTTTAAACACGTCCGAATTCCCATCTTTCCATGGAAGAACCCTTCTGGGTTGAGGAGTGTGGACTTTTTCTTCAGCGCTGGGCAAACCGGGGTGCCCTCAGAAAGGTTGGCATGGAGACCTATCGGAATGCAATGTCTACAGAGGGGGAAAAAAATTGAACGTCTGCCAAGGAGAAAAATTTTGATCCCATTCCTCTAGTTCAAGATGGCGACTCGTAAGATTCCTCTTCCGTGACATATAGTTACTTAGGTTAGCAATTCCCATCTTAGTGACATACCGTAGTGGCCAAAATTGTGGGAACCTTTTGGGAAAAGTGTATTTTCTAAAACTAGCTAATAACACCACTTTTTTTTTTTGGAGTAGTACTATAAAATTATATATCCACGGAAAGATAATTTAATCAAGAATGTAATGCGATAACTTTTATGAAGGGTGTCAGCACTTCAAGCTGCATTTACTCTAGTGCTGACATAAGGAGAAGCGGAGGCGTCTGGAAAGGGACGTTTGACTTTTCACCTACTTATTTTCCCTGGAGATAATATCCCCTAGGAAATGGGATGGGAGGGGGGAAATTCCTTTGAGCTGGAGCAGTAGATTAGGGGTAGAGTGACTTGGAAGATGGTCAATGAGTGCAGAGGAGTGGGAAACGGAAAGGGAGGGTTTTGGGTCTGGAAGTCAGTCAGGCTGCAATGGAGTCGGAGTTAGAATGTCGTGCTTAATAAATGGGAGTTTTTCATCATAGACTTTGTTTGAAATGCAATTTATTTGAGACGACCTCGAAACCTGACAAAGGGTTTGCTATTCGAATAGCCGTTACAGGGTTGTCTGATAGTTATCAGCTGCCTTCGGAGTCGGACATCAGTGAGGCAGACGAACAGCTGGAGCCAGTGTGCGCATGCGCAGAGTTGCCAGACGAAGGGAACAGCTAAAGAACAAGGGTCGACTCAGGAGTAAAGCCACAGGTGGACGGTGAATGGCCCCTCCCAGAGGGAATAAAAGAGGAGCGAAAGGGGAGTGGAGTTTGCAGGAGACAATCAGTTCGCTTAATTGGTTCGTGACTCTCAGAGACTCCTTGCCAAGTTTTGAAGATATCGGCCTGGCAGCTCTCCAAGCCCGATAAGGTCTGTGACTGTAAATTCTCCCTTGAAAGACTTTGCTGGATGTGAATGAGAGGAATTCACAGTAACTTAATAAAAAGGGGTTTTTGGAATCTGCTTCGTGGTTTGGGGAAGCCTAGATCAGAATGACCTACCCCCTGAGATACGCACGATATCAGACCTCCGGACTTTTCGTCGGGCCCTGAAAACATACCTATTCCATCTAGCTGGGCTGGCTTGATCCCATCCTCTCAGTTTTAATTGAATTTGGTTTTATTTGGGTTATTTTTAATATCTTGGGCCGAAATTATTTAATTGTTTTAAATTGTTTTTAAATTTTGTACGCAATGTTTTATCCTGGCTGTACACCACCCTGAGTCCCGCAGGAGAAGGGCGGTATAGAAATAAAATTCTATAAGAGCCTTGGTAGTACAGGGGCTTAAGGCACCCTGTTATTAAGCTTGTTAAGACCAGCTGCCTGCAATTACTGCAGGGTTCGAATCTCGCCAAGGCTCAAGGTTGACTCAGCCTTCCATCCTTTCTAAGGTAGGTGAAATGAGGACCCAGTTTGTGGGGGCAATAAGCTGACTTTGTATAAATATACAAAAGGATGAAGGCTATTGCTTAACGCATTGTAAGCCGCCCTGAGTCTCCGGAGAAGGGCGGCATATAAATCAAATTAAAATAATAATAATAATAATAATAATAATAATAATAATAATAATAATAATAAAGAAGTATACTCCGCCGATACATTACAAAGTGCTAGGGAAAAGCGATGCGTATAAAGGCCAATACCAGCCAAAGAACCGACAGCTGTGTGACTTCACACTGTTGTGTATGTAATAATGAGTTCCCCAAGGAAACTTATAAGAATATAGATGTGGAAGAAATTAGCAACAAGGGAAGGAGAGAAATCTCAGGCTGAATCAGGAAGAATCTCACAGGTTTATAAGAGTCAGCACAACAAAATAAATCCTCTTAGGTTGGCTGAGATAACGGGAACAGAAGTAGGCCAGGATAAGTTGGATAATCGCCTAATTAAACACCGAAGGATTTATTTATTTATTTATTTTTAACAGAGAGGGATGCTGTCGTCGGGCACAGATTCTACCTCTTCGAAAACAAACAATATTTTTTACTGTGTTCGCATCTTTTAGTTATTCTTCACCGTTTTTTTCTGAACTGTATCTGGGGGCTGCGTGGAAAAAGGATGGCAAAATCCTTTGGCCTTGGGAATTCAGAGCGGTTTTCTGCAATCTTGGCACAAGTTATCTATTTCAACACCCTAGAATCCCCGAAGATTCTGGGAGCTGAAATCCACACCTCCGGAGAGCAGCCCACGCTGGTGTAGCAATAGCCCTTAAGACTTATATGCCGCTTCCCAGTGCTTTTACAGCCCTCTCTAAGCGGTTTTACAGAGTCAGCCAATCGCCCCCAACAATTTGGGTCCTCGTTTTACTGACGCCGGAAGGATGGAAAACCGAGTCAACGTTGAGCCGGTCAGGATCAAAATTGTGTGTGGGTAGAATTATACTGCAATACTGCATTATAGCTATTGTGCACGATGGATGGATGGATGGATGGATGGATGGATGGGGAAGGAAGGAAGGAAGGAAGGAAGGAAGGAAGGAAGGAAGGAAGGAAGGAAGGAAGGAAGGAAGGAAGGAAGGAAGGAAGGAAAGAAAGGAGGGAGGGAGGGAGGGAGGGAGGGAGGGAGGGAGGGAGGGAGGAAGGAAGGAAGGAAGGAAGGAAGGAAGGAAGGAGCAGTGATGGCTCAGTGATTAGAATGCAGTATTGCAGGCTAATTCTGCCAATTGCCAGGAGTTCGACCCTGATCCAGCTTTCTATCCTTCCGAGGATGGTAAAATGAGGACCCAGATTGTTGGGGGCAATATGCTGATTTTGTAAACCGCTTAGAGAGGGCTGTAAAAGCACTATGAAGTGGGATATAAGTCTAAGTGCTGTTGCTATATACCGCTTTACAGCCCTCTCTAAGCAGTTTACAGAGTCAGCCTCTTGCCCCCAACAATCTGGGTCCTCATTTTACCGACCTCGGAAGGATGGAAGGCTGAATCTACCTTGAGCCATTTCGGAATCGAGCTGCGGGCAGTGGGCAGAGTTTGCCTGCCATACTGCATTCTAACCCCTGCACCACCACAGCTCATGGGCCTATGGATACTACCTGGATGGAAGGCTGAGTCAACCTGGCTCCGGTTCAGAATCGAACAGCTGGCAGTGGGCAGTGAGTTAGTTTGCAATAATGCATTCTAATCACTGCGCCACCCTGACTCTTTCCTCAGTAGATGCGATAATACAGTATTTCTAAACTCTGACAACTTTTAAGATAGATGGGCTTCCAACTACTAGGGTGTCAAGGAATTGTGGGAGTTGAAGTCCATCTCTCTTAAAACTGTTAACGCAGGTGGTCCCCTACTTATGACCGTGATTGAGCCCGAAATTTCTGTTGCTAAATGAGACATTCGTTCAGCGAGTTCCCCCCCCCTTTTTTTACAATCCTTCCTAGCACGCTTGTTCGTTGAATCACGACGTGGGTTAAGTCCATAACCCAGTTGTTTAAGTGAATCTGGCTTTTCCCCCATGGATTTTTCTTGTCCGAAGGTCACAAAATGAAGATCATGTAACCCCAAGGACACCTCAACTGTCATAGGTTCATGTCAGTTGCCAAGCACCCAAAATTTTGATCACGTGACCCTTGGGGAAACGCCGCAACGGTGGTTAAGTGTGAAAAAAACAACAACAATCGTAAGTCACTTTTTTCGCTGCCGTCGTCATTTTTGAACGGACACTAAACGAAGGATTGCAAGTCAAGGACTACCTGTAGACTCCTCTTCAGGGTTTATAAAACCTGATTGGTTGATGCCCGTGAAATCAAAGGAAACTAAAAGGAAGGACTCACTTCTTGGCCAGCTGAACGGCGTCTAATACGGCACTCCCGTTAACCAGAAGCGAGACGTTGGAGATGGCCCCGCCCAGGAAACACTCCACGATGCCGTGGTTCCTCCTCGGGCAATAGCCGAAATCATCCCCGGTTACGATCAGCTTCACCGTAGCTTTGGGCATCCTTAGAAGTCAACCCTGAGGAGCGCAAAATACAGAAGACAAAAGTCCTCGCCGTTAGCCCGTATCTCTTCCCCTCCCCGAAAGTGAAGAAAGGCGCAGAGAAAGGAAGAGGCAAACTGGAGCACCCATCGCCCCACAGCTGTGGCTAAACCGTCGCCAGGTCCCCAAGGAAGCATAAACAATAAGACGTGTCTGCGCCACGGCAGCCGTTAATCTCGCCGTCGGGAGGGTGTGTGTGTGTGTGGAAAGCAAGCCGATGTAACTAAGAAGATTAGCCGAACTCGGCTTTCTGGACGAGGGAGAAAAACCGCACAATTGGTTGGTTGGGTTTGAGCTGGTTGGTTTTTTTAAAAAAATAAAATAAAATGCTTGATATGGGGAATGGTTCATCCGGAACCATTTCTGGAGCAGGTAAAAGGCACCGAAGGAACATGGGCTAAAACGGAGCCACAGCTCAACCCATTTAGAATAGAATAGAATAGAATAGAATAGAATAGAATAGAATAGAATAGAATAGAATAGAATAGAATAGAAACAGAAACAGAAACAGAAACAGAAACAGAAACAACAGAAACAGAAACAACAGAAACAGAAACAGAAACAACAGAAACAGAAACAGAAACAGAAACAAACAAAAACAGAAACAGAAACAAAGCTGGAAGGGACCTTGGAGGTCGTCTAGTCCAACCCTCTGCTTAGGCAGGAAACCCTACACCACTTCATTCAAATGGTTATCCAACATCATCTTAAAACCTTCCAGTGTTGGAGCATTCACAACTTCTGGTGGCAAGTTGTTCCACTGATTAATTGTTCTCACTGTCAGGAAATTCCTCCTTAGTTCTAATAGAACAGAACAGAACAGAACAGAATTGAATTCTTTATTGGCCAATAAATCAGCTGGCCGATGCACGCATGTGCACCGGAACTGAGCTTGCATGCCCACAAATATGGCTCTGTGTGCCACAGGTTCGCGATCACGGGTGTAGGGTCTCCTGCTTGGGCTTGGGGGTTGGGCTGGATGACGTCCAAGGTCCCTTCCAACTCTGTTACTCTGTTGTTTTTACCAGAAAGGATTCTGAAGTTAAGCTGGGATTTTGAGCCATGGAAAAAAAAAAACTCCTTTATCAACCTATTCCCCTCTTCTGCCTTTCAAAACATTTTAATCCTTCATCATCTCCCTTGTGTTTTATTTCACAGTTAGAGGATCTGATTTTTTTTTTTAAAAAAAAAAGAACATCAGGTTCTTTATTCATGAAAATCAGAAGGTCCGTTGCTCTCTTCCCACTAACCATATTTCATTTAAAAGCAAACTGCTCTCTGGAATGATACAGGTGGCTTCATCACGAGGCCATGAATTCGAGAGCTAATTTATTATTATTATTATTATTATTATTATTATTATTTATTTATTTATTTATTTATTTATTAATTATTATTATTATTTTAAAAAGGTGAATTTCCTGATTCTGGCCTTGTGCGTCTCCTTTCCTACAAGGGATGAAGTAAAGTAAAGTAAAATACTCACAGTTTTTTTCTCAAGTTTGGTCTGCGGTAAAAGCCGGAAAGCCGATTTAAGAAAAATGCAATTAAACTAACCAAAAATTTTTTAATCAGGGAATTTTCCCTAGAGGAGAAACTGCCTCTGCCTTCTTCAGCCAAGATCAGTCTGTCTGCAGATACTGGTTTTTTTGTTTTTTTTTAAGCTACTGGTATCCGGATGCTATCAGGAAGTAACAAGCTGAAAATCCAGCTATGGTGCAACTTTGGACACGGTGGCAAGAACTTCCGTTCCCCAGGGAGTTTAGATTATAGGTTGAATTTTCTAATGCCTAAAAGGTAAAGGTTCCCCTCGCACATATGTACTAGTCGTTCCCGACTCTCGGATGAGCGGTGCTCATCTCCGTTTCAAAGCCGAAGAGCCAGCGCTGTCCGAAGAGGTCTCCGTGGTCATGTGGCCGGCATGACTCAACGCCAAAGGCGCATGGAACGCTGTTCCCTTCCCACCAAAGGGGGTCCCTATTTTTCTACTCGCATTTTTTACCTGCTTTCGAGCTGCTAAGTTGGCAGAAGCTGGGACAAGTCACGGGAGCTCACCCCGTTAACGCGGCACTAGGGACTCGAACCGCTGAACTGCCGACCTTTCGATCGACAAGCTCAGCGACTTAGCCACTGACGAATCAAACTTTGATCAAACACTGATCAAACATCTATCTTATCTTTAATCGCCATCCAAGTCCCAAATAGTGAAAATCAAGAGTAAAAAAAAAAAAAAAAAAAATCAGACATGTACCAGCAAGTTTAGGGTGCTGGATTTTCATAAAGTAAAGCCAAAAAGAGGGCAACGGAGCATTTAAATAAAAAAAACTAACTCACAAAATCCACTGCAATTCACAGTGACGTTGATCGCTGAAGAGGATATAAATTTACGCCTTTTTCCAGAAGGCTTGATGAAAAGAATCCTTTTCAGCGCCTCCCTCTCGCTCCTTAAAATGGAAATATTTCACTGCCAACGCCTTAAAAGAATTCGTAACAGTCACTGGATATAAGTTTTCTAGTAAATATTCTGAATTGATTTTAACAGAAAATCAGAAAAAAGGCATACAGGGGTTTTCTGCATTATTTTTCTCTTTTCAAATGCTTCTAAAAGAATTATCTATTGTTGAAAATTCGCTGGCCTAGAAACCAGGAGACTGGGAGTTCTAGTCACACTTTAGGCGTGAAATCTGGCTGGGTGACATTGGTCCAATCAGGAGATGGTGAGTTCTAGTCCCACCTTAGGCGTGAAATCTGGCTGGGTGACATGGGTCCAATCAGGAGATGGTGAGTTCTAGTTCCACCTTAGACGTGAAATCTGGCTGGGTGACATTGGTCCAATCAGAAGGAGAGAGTGAGTTCTAGTCCCACCTTAGGCGTGAAATCTGGCTGGGTGACTTCAGGTCAATCACCAGGAGATGGTGAGTTCTAGTTCCACCTTAGGCGTGAAATCTGGCTGGGTGACATTGGTCCAATCAGAAGGAGAGAGTGAGTTCTAGTCCCACCTTAGGCGTGAAATCTGGCTGGGTGACTTCAGGTCAATCACCAGGAGATGGTGAGTTCTAGTCCCACCTTAGGCGTGAAATTGGCTGGGTGACTTCAGGTCAATCACCAGGAGACGGTGAGTTCTAGTCCCACCTTAGCCGTGAAAACCTAGAAATTTTGGGCTCAATTTCTAGTCGTAAATCAAGGCCTACCAGTATCTCATCTACTCTCCAAACCTGAGGTTTCCTTGTGGTGCCCCATCCAAGTTTATTTTGGGAGGGAAGAACCATGGCAACTGCCTAGAATCTGGAAAAACAGATCCACCTTTCCCACTGGATCTTCTCCTTCTGCCAATCCCGCCCTTCCGGCATCTTCCCTTGAATTAAACACTGTCAAGGGACCTTCGAGGTCATCCAGTCCAGCCCAACTGAAGACTCTTCCTCATCCCTATCCCAAATCAACTGCCTTACCCCAACCAGCCGGGCATCCTTCCTTTCCAGATCGGGATTCCTCCCCCCAAATTTCTCGGTGAACTCGAACCATCCCTACCCTACTGACCTTACGAAAAGCAGCGGTGAAGATCTGGCTTTTCCGGCAGGCCTGGGGGCCGTTGATCTCGCTCTTGCGATCTGGCGAGATCCGGCCATGAATGGCGTGAATGAGTTTTTAATGTTTTTAATTTTTAAATGTTTTTTATAATGATTTTAAATGTATCGTGAGCCACCCTGAGTCTTCGGAGAGGGGCGGCATATAAATTGAATTAAATTGGGGAAAAAAATTGAAATTGAAAACTCCCTCCGGCATCTTCCCTAGAATTCCATGGCTTAGGACCTGAGTACTTACGAGACCACCTGGTGCAACCGATAACCTCCCACCAACCAATACGTAGGCCTACTCATAGTACCATCATTAAAACAATGTCGTCTAGTAGTTCCAAGGGAGAGAGCCTTCTCTGTGGGGGCACCTACTCTTTGGAACAAAATACCCCCTGGAATACGAATAATCCCAGATCTTCGCACTTTCCGACGTGCCCTGAAGACTTTTCTGTTTCAACAAGCAGGGCTAGCATAAACATCTCAATTCTATGCCAAGGTCTTAGCAGATACACCAAGTTGACTCAATCTATTATTTACTGTTTATAAAAAAAAAAATATGTTAAACTTTGGATACAGTGGACAAAATCTGTCTCCCGATATCTCTCCAAAATATCAGACTTAAGTCCATTATATCCAAAGAATTAGACAATTCATTTAAATTTCGATTAATGATTTAAGTTGTATTATCGCTTGCATTAGAATGGATTTATGCAAATAAAGTAGAACGGTGACTGTTTACACAAATGAGGTATATTCTGACTTGAGATAGCTGGTAGTAGCAGATGTTGTGTCATCCTCAAATGTTCTTTTAAATCAAAATTTCACTATCGTGTTTTCATTGAAACTGGCATCAAATGGCGAATGAGCCAATACATTTTGATTAAATATATGAAATCTTAAATCTGTTCACCGCCCTGAGTCCCTCGGGAGAAGGGTGGTATAGAAATTCAATAAATAAATCAATAAATAAAATTAAAACATTGGCAAGGGGCCATCGAGGTCATCCAGCCGAGCCCAACTCAAGCCTCTTCCTCCTCCCCATCCCAAATCCACTGCCTTACCCCAGCCAGCCGGGCATCCTTCCTCTCCCGATCGGGATTCCTCCCCCCAAATTTCCCGCCGAGCTCCCTCTGGCATCTTCCCTAGAATTAAAACACTGGCAAGGGGCCATCGAGGTCATCCAACCGAGCCCAACTCAAGCCTCTTCCTCCTCCCCATCCTAAATCCACTGCCTTACCCCAGCCAGCCGGGCATCCTTCCTCTCCCGATCGGGATTCCTCCCCCCAAATTTCCCGCCGAGCTCCCCCTGGCATCTTCCCTAGAATTAAAACACTGGCAAGGGGCCATCGAGGTCATCCAGCCGAGCCCAATTCAAGCCTCTTCCTCCTCCCCATCCCAAATCCACTGCCTTACCCCAGCCAGCCTGGCATCCTTCCTCTCCCAATCCGGATTCCACCCCCCCCCAAATTTTCCAGGCCAGCTTCCAAACCACTCCGAATCCCATCTGCTTGCCAGGATGATGCCACCCCTTCCGGGCCGGCCTTCCGAAGCCAGAGCAAGCCAAGCCAAGCAGCGTGGCATCCAGATGTTCCACATCCGCTTTGGCACGGAAGGAAGAGAGCATCCGAGGCCGGCGGCCGGGAAAGCAAGGCGGGCAGCTTTAGGGGTGTGTGTGTGCAATGTGCAATGCCACCCTTGGCACCTGGGGCAAACAGAGGGCATCTATCCGGTCCTTGCTAGCCTCTGAAACCAGGATCGGATCGCAGCTTGCTTTCCACCTCCTGGTTCTTTTCTATTACTCCCCACCCCACCCCCTAAAAAAAATCCGGCTTTTTTTCCTAAGAATCCAGGTTCGATGCCCAGGCAGGGCAAAAAAAAAAAAGGGGGGGGGACAGAAGGGGGGAAAGCCGCTCTGCTTCAAGATTTGCACCCGGCCGGCCATGCAACGGCTTCTCCCGGTTGCAAAAAAAAAGGGAAGGGACCACCCCACTTGGATCCTGGCACACTCACCCATGGTGAATCCAGGTTCGATGCCCAGGCCGGGCAAAAAAAAGGGAGAGGAGGGGAAAAGCAGCTCTGCTTCAAGATTTGCACCCGGCCGGCCATGCAACGGCTTCTCCCGGTTGCAAAAAAGGGAACCCCCCACCCCACCTGGATCCTGGCACACTCACCCATGGCGAAGGGGCAGCACCACCCGCCGCAGCAGCAGAAACAGCGGCGCCCATGCCCGAAGCGGCTTTGCAGGCTCAAGCCCCGGGAAAAAGCGAAAGCGAGCTGGCAAAGGCGCCCGGGGGAGCCCTCTGGTGGCCCCTCGAGGGAACTGCAGGAGGAGGCAAGCGAAAAGGAAGCGCGAGAGAGTCGCCGGGCTTCTGATTCAACGTCTTCACACCACCCCCACCGCCACGCGGAGGATAACTTGAACTACAGTTCCCAGCATTCCTCGCCTTTGGGTCACGCTGGGTGGAGGGCTGCTGGGAGTCGTAGTTCTGAACTGGAGCCTACAAGAGGTTGGAGCTAGGCGTTGATTGATTGATTGATTGATTGATTGATTGATTGATTGATTGATTGATTGATTGATTGATTGATTGATTGATTGATTGATGGTTGATTGGTTGGCTGGCTGGCTGGCTGGCTGGCTGGCTGGTTGGTTGGTTCATTGATTGATTGATTGATTGATTGATTGATTGATTGATCGATTGATTGTCTACCCCTGACTACCCCAGCTAGGTGGCTCACCCTGACTAGGTGGCTCAGTGGCTAATTTATTTTATTTTATTTTATTAAATTTCTATACCGCCCTTCTCCCGAAGGACTCAGGGCGGTGAACAGCCGAAAAATAAAACACAGAAATACAAAATTTAAAATAGATTAAAACAGATTAAACAATTTGGCTAAATTTTAAAATATCCCATGATTAAACAAATTAAAATTAGTATTTAAAATTTAAATTTTAAAATTTTAAAAGGGAGAAGATTTAGGCCAGGCCAGGCTAAGACACTGAGCTTGTCAATCAGAAAGTTCAGCGGTTCGAATCGCTAGTAGAGATCTCCTGCGTGAGCAGGGGGTTGGACTGAATGACCTCCAAGGTCCCTTCCAACTCTGTTACTGTTTACTGATTGATTGTTTCCAATAGAGGAGAATATTTGTAGCTCGGGGTTGAAATGAGGGGTCCTTGGTGGTCTCTGAGCTTGCTGGTTTTCTTGCAGACGTCTCATGACCCAACTAGGTAACATCATCAGTGCCACCCTTGCTAAAAGTTAATCGTGAATGAGTTTTTAATGTTTTTAATGTTTTTAATTTAATGTTTTTTTAATTTTTCAATGTTTTTTTATACTTATTTTTTTAAATGTATTGTGAGCCGCCCTGAGTCTTCGGAGAGGGGCGGCATATAAATTTAATTAATTAAATTAAATTAAATTAAATTAAACACGGCGGTTAAGTGAATCTGGCTGCCCCCTTGACTTTGCGCGACAGGAGGTCACAAAAGGAGATCAAATGATCCTGGGACACTGTAACCGTCATAAATATGAACCGCCAGTAGTTGCCAAGCATCTGAATTTTGACCCCATGACCATGGGGAAGCTGCAACTGTCATAAGTGTGTGAAAAAAGCCTTGGTGGCGCAGCAGACTAAAGCACTGTTAAGTAACACCAACTGCCTGCAATAACTGCAAGTTCAAATCTCACCAGGCTCAAGGTTGACTCAGCCTTCCATCCTTTCTAAGGTAGGTAAAATGAGGACCCGGATTGTGGGGGCAATAAACTGACTTTGTATAAAAAAGAACACCGCTCGGGGGGGGCGAAAGCCCTACTAAGCAGGTATATACAAAAGTATGAAGGCTATTGCTTAACGCATTGTAAGCCGCCCTGAGTCTCCGGAGAAGAACGGCATATAAATCGAACCAATAAATAAAAGTGGTCAGACTTGTCCCAGCTTCTGCCAACCTAGCAGTTCGAAAGCAGGTAAAAAATGCAAGTAGAAAAATAGGGACCACCTTTGGTGGGAAGGGAACAGCATTCCGTGCGCCTTTGGCATTGAGTCATGCCGGCCACATGACCACGGAGACGTCTTCGGACAGCGCTGGCTCTTCGGCTTTGAAACGGAGATGAACACCTGCCCCCGAGAGTCGGGAACAACTAGCACGTATGTGCGAGGGGAACCTTTACCTTTACCGATCACATGACTGCATGGCAATCCGTCTGGAAATAATGCCATGGGTTAAAGTTGCAATCAAAGCAAGAGCCTCTGTGGTGCAGCGGACTAAAGTGCTGTTAAGTGCTAGCACTTAGCTGCCAGCTGCCTGCAATTAATGCGAGTTCAAATCTCACCAGGCTCAAGGTTGACTCAGCCTTCCATCCTTTCGAGGTAGGTGAATTGAAGACCCGGATTGTGGGGGCAATAAGCCGACTTTGTATAGAACAACTCCGCTTGGGGGGGGGGCGAAAGCCCTAATAAGCAGGTATATACAAAAAAGTATGCAGGCTATTGTTATAATGCATTGTAAGCCGCCCTGAGTCTACGGAGAAGGGCGGCATATAAATTGGACAAATAAATAAATAAATAAATAAATAAATAAATAAATAAATAAATAAATAAAGTTGAAAAACAATCTTTTTTAAAAAAAAAAAACAGCTTAAACAATTTCCCGAATAATTTACCATCCTCGGATTACCAGCTTTTCTTGCACCGGATGCCACACTCCATTAAGGAATAGAATTATAGTCCATTCAAATCGTTCAGTCAAGTTCGAGCTTTGGAATGAAAACACGCAAGTCGGGATTCTGGATTCCGAGGTCTTGTGTATGGGGTTCAGCGTCAACAACGTATTTTATGCAAACGGATGGAATGGCCGACTCTGCAGTAGAACTGCTGATGTCACAAAGGAGAAGAAGATTCTTTTCGTCCTTCTTCTTCTTTTCTTCTTCCAAGCCGTAAGTAACTCTCAGTGTCTCATCTCTGGAACTTGAAGTCTGGATTGATTTCTTGGCATTGGCGAAACGTTTGGCCGTCCTTCAACGAGACGAAGGCCTGGATAAGTTCTCCAGAGATTAGAAATCCTTCCTGTTCTTTAATTTCCAAATTACGTTTCATGAAGGCCATTGTAAGGATATACGGGGCTTTTCAAAAGGGGGGATTAATTGATTTAGCGTACGGCGTAACGTACATGGAGTAGCAATATAAATTAACGTTTCAACTAGATTCGTAGAGCCAGGCCTGGGCTGCTGGGGGTTCGTAGGGGTTCGGGAGAACCTCTAGCTAAGATTCTGTGCAGTTCAGAGAACCCCCAAATCCCATACCTGGATGTCCCCACCCACCTCGCCACTCCCAGGAGTCCCCACACGGCCCGTTTGGGATGAGGGCAAAAAACGGGCCTACCAAAATTCAGGAAGGCCAGAAATGGGCCTGTTTCTGGCCTCTAGAGAGCCTCCGGAGCCTGGTGAGGCCGTTTTCGCCCTCCTAGAGGCTCAAGGAAAGCCTCCAGAGCCTGGGGAGGACAAAAACATCCGCCCCCACCATGGTGCAGGAGGCCGACTAGGCCACGCCCACCATGGCCACACCCACCCAGCAACCAGGCAGAGAACCCCTTGCTAAAATTTTTGAAGCCCACCCCTGAGTAGAACCCAATAAAATATAAATGTTCAAAAGATCTGGGTTCAAATATCGATATCTAGGCCATCTGACCATTGAAATGCAACTTCATTTATAAGGATTATAAATTTATAAGAAATCAGGTATTGGACCTTTCAGGCTTACAGCCGGTCACGACGGGATCTACAGTTTGATGTGGGACCCGCAATCACACTGAGGGGAGAGGATACTATGCCCCATTTATACAGAGAGCCTCAGCAGGTGCGCTGAGAGGTATAAATCCCATTTAGGCAGTTGGTCGGCTGCAACCGGTTTAACCACTGGTTCTGTGAGCTGCGCTTTTGTGCGTGCACACGGGCTTCCCGCGTGTGCGCACCTAACACGCTTGCATGCAGCGTTCAAAATACACCTATTTGAAGCTCCGCTGCTTAACTTCTAAGGCAGCCCCGGTAAGTAGAACAGCGAAGGCACAGAAATCAGCTGTGCCGCACAAATCAACTGAGCCAGAGATATAGGACAGGATAGAGTGGGTGCAGGTGGGCGGGGCCAGCTGATCGTTGGAACTACCGGTTCGCTAGAACCGGTCTGAACCAGCAGCAGCCCACCACTGCATTTAGGATTGTCCATTGCTGACATGAGAATTGGCATCTTTTTTGTGGTGTCGTTTCTATGTCTTCCTACAACTGGATGTTCAATGAAATCCATTTGGCTTTCTTCAAAAAGGCGACGTTAGTCGAACACTAAACTGGCTTGATGTTTAATGGATTGTCTACCTACCATCTCCAGATGCGGCCTGATTTGTTGAAATGAAAAATACAGGGAACCATTTTCACTGCGGGTTTAAGGGTTTATACGAAGCCAGCAGTTGGGGCTTTATTAGACCGTGGTTTCTGCATCATAATGGTTGTGTGAACACAGCCAGTTGTGGTTTCTCCAGTTAAACATACTTTAGCTGTTGATGTTTGGTGCGGTGTAAATTTTGGAGGGGGAGGGGTTTCATTTTCTACTTCAGTATTTTTCTGACATTCTTTTCATCTTTCGGTCTTTTATTTTGGAGATAATCGGAGGGAGGAAAGAAGAAAAGAAGGAGGTGGGAAGAGGAGGAAGGAGTGGAAGGAAAGAGATGGGAAGGAAAAAAAGGAAGGGAGGGAAGAAGAAGAACAGAAAAAGGAAGGAAGGAAAGAGAAAAATAAGGAGAGGAGGAGAGGAGAGGAGGAACAAAGGAAGGAAGGAAGGAAGGAAGGAAGGAAGGAAGGAAGGAAGGAAGGAAGGAAGGGAGAAACATAAGAGGAGATATTTTTCTGTTTCTACACAGATTTTATTCCTTCATCAGCTTCCAATTCTTTGGAGGGCAAAATCATCCAGGGATGATAGAACTGATATTTCTCAGGATAGTCTCTCTGCCGACTTTTGAAATCCTTATTTGTAAAAAAAATAATAATAATAACACTATCAATTAATTGACCAAACAAGCTGTTTATTGTTTTGACCACCAGTTGTAGCAAATAAAATAATCTCCCTCAATCGTTCCCAGCATTCGGCTCTTCTCCAGGGAGTCCTTCCTTCTCATTAGGTGGCCAAAGGATTTGAGTTTCCTCTTCAGGATCTGGCCTTCTAAAGAGCAGTCAGGGTTGATCTCCTCTAGGACTGACCGGTTGGATCGCCTTGCAGTCCAAGGGACTCGCAGGAGTCTTCTCCAGCACCAGAGTTCAAAGGCCTCCATTCTTTGGCGCTCAGCCTTCCTTATGGTCCATGGAGTGCGGGAGGATCCCTTAGAAGGCAGGGCGGAGGATTTCGGACAATACCTGTATGACAAAATCGCCCAGATCCGGGGGGATTTGGACTCTGACTGGGTAGATCAGGGCAGGGTGACGAGGAATAGTCTTGAGAATGTTATCTGGGAGGAGTTTGATGCTGTGACTCCTGATGATGTGGACAGGATTTTGGGGAGACTTAGTGCGGCCACATGTTTACTGGACCCGTGTCCCTCCTGGTTGGTACTGGCTTCCCGGGAGGTTACACGAGGCTGGCTCCAGGGTGTTATCAACGCTTCGTTGAGTGAGGGTTACTTCCCCACCGCCTTGAAAGAGGCGGTGGTGAGGCCTCTCCTCAAGAAGCCGTCCCTGGATCCGGCAATATTGGCCAACTATCGTCCTGTCTCCAACCTTCGCTTTATGGCGAAGGTTGTTGAGAGTGTGGTCGCACGACAGTTTCCGCAATTCCTGGAGGAAACATCTTATCTAGATCCGTTCCAGTCGGGTTTCAGGTCTGGGCACAGCACAGAAACGGCATTGGTCGCGTTGGTTGATGATCTCTGGAGGGCTCGGGACAGGGGTTGTTCCTCTGTTCTGGTCCTGTTAGACCTCTCAGCGGCTTTTGATACCATCGACCATGGTATCATGCTGCACCGGCTGGAAGAGTTGGGGGTGGGAGGCACCGTGTTGCGGTGGTTCTCCTCCTTTCTCTCCGACCGGTCGCAGTTTGTGTTGGCAGGGGGGCAGAGGTCGACCTCGAGGCCTCTCATTTGTGGAGTGCCGCAGGGATCGGTCCTCTCGCCCCTTCTGTTCAACATTTATGTGAAGCCGCTGGGTGAGATCATCCGTGGCTTTGGGGTGAGATACCACCAGTACGCTGATGACACCCAGCTGTACATCTCCACCCCAGGCCACCCCAACGATGCCCTTGAAGTGATGTCCCAGTGCCTGGAGGCTGTATGGGTCTGGATGGGGAGGAACAGGCTCAAGCTCAACCCTTCCAAGACTGAGTGGCTGTGGCTCCCGGCATCCCGATATAGTCAGTTGACTCCATCACTGACTATTGGGGGCGAGTCATTGGCCCCCACAGAGAGGGCTCGCAATCTGGGAGTCCTCCTGGATATGCAGCTGTCCTTGGAGGAACATCTGACGGCTGTAACCAGGGGGACCTTTTGTCAGGTTCGCCTGATTCGCCAGTTGCGGCCCTTTCTTGATCGGGATTCCCTGTGCACAGTCACTCACGCCCTCGTCACCTCTCGCCTTGACTATTGCAACGCTCTCTACATGGGGCTCCCCTTGAGGAGCACCCGGAGGCTCCAGCTGGTCCAGAACGCAGCAGCGCGGGTAGTGACGGGAGCAGCATGGCGCTCCCATGTAACACCGCTCCTGCGCGAGCTGCACTGGCTCCCAGTTGTCTTCCGGGTGCGCTTCAAGGTGTTGGTTATCACCTTTAAAGCGCTCCATGGCATAGGGCCTAGCTATCTTCGAGACCGCCTGCTGCTACCAACGACCTCCCATCGACCCGTGCGCTCCCACAGAGAGGGCCTCCTCGGGGTGCCATCAGCCAGACAATGTAGGCTGGTGACCCCCAGGGGGAGAGCCTTCTCTGTGGGGGCTCCCACCCTCTGGAATCAGCTCCCCCCAGAGATAAGGAGAATCCAAGACCTCAGTGCCTTCCGTCGCGCCCTTAAAACCCATTTATTTAAACAAGCCGGGCTGGCTTAAGATGAAATTTTTAACTGTTTTTAAATGTTTTAAACGTTTTTAATTGGTAAATGAGTTTTAATTGGGCCAAATTTATATATCTTTTAATTGTTTTTAATATTTGTTCTGCATGTTTTTTTAATCTGGCTGTACACCGCCCTGAGTCCTTAGGGAGAAGGGCGGTATAGAAATCCAATATAAAATAAAATAAATAAAATAAAACTTTCACAGCCATCCATTGCAACTGGGAAAACCATCGCCTTGACTATACGCACTTTTGTTGGCAGTCTGCTTTTTAGCACACTGTCTAGCTTTGACATAACTTTCCTCCCCAGGAAAAAGTGTCTTGATAGGTTACACTAAAATTTATCTTTTTTCCATAGGCAGGATAAACAGGAAGAAGGTGTGAAGAATTTTAAGGAGCTGTTCTTTCAGCACTTATGGAAGGCCGCAGATATTCTGGCTATCTAGCCGACGATGAGAGCTTCAGAAGACCTCAGGTGAGGACCAAGGAAGGACCATGGGGTTCTCTTCTCATCCCTTTCTAGAAACAGGACTCACCAAACTGGGTGTTTACGGGAGCAGGCGCCACTTGTCAAACTCTCCAGCATCAAAAAAGAAAAAGAAAAATTAGCTTTTCTAAAGCTAATTTTAAAGCCAAATTCTCCATGAAAATCAGTTTCCCGACTGTAATCCAAAGAAACGTAGATGTAGACCCAGAAATTTAAGCAGCTGCCAAGAACCTACTAACCTTCTGCAGATGTTTCTGCAAACTCAACCAACCAGGCAGGAGATTGGTCAAGAGTGGGATAATGTCTTCTTCTTTCTTCCCAATTTGGAAGAGTGGGCTTTAGCTCCCAGAATTCCCCAGCCAGCGTGTTTTCTCAGGAAATTCTGGGAGTTGAAGTTCATACCAGGGGCCAAGGTGAAGGAATCCTGATTTACGGTAACCATCTATTGATCCATCCCAGCCATTGATTCCAGGAATAGAATAGAATAGAATAGAATAGAATAGAATAGAATAGAATAGAATAGAATAGAATAGAATAGAATACAATACAATACAATACAATACAATACAATACAATACAATACAATAATACAATACAATAAAATACAATACAATACCAATATCAATACCAATACCAATACCAATACCAATACAATTCTTTATTGGCCAAGTGTGATTGGACACACAAGGAATTTGTCTTTGGTGCATATGCTCTCAGTGTACATAAAAAGAAAAGATACATTCATTAAGAATCATAAGGTACAACACTTAATAATAGTCATAGGGTACAAATAAGCAATCAAATCATACTAGGAAACAATCAATATAAATTGTAAGGATACAGCAACATGAGATGGGTGATAGGAACGATGAGAAGACTAATAGTAATAGTAATGCAGACTTAGTGAATAGTTTGACAGTGTTGAGGGAATTATTTGTTTAGCAGAGTGATGGCGTTCGGGGAAAAAACTGTCCTTGTGTCTAGTTGTTCTGGTGTGCAGTGCTCTATAGTGTCGTTTTGAGAGTAGGAGTTGAAAGTTTATGTCCAGGATGCGAGGGGTCTGTAAATATTTTCACAGCCCTCTTTTTGACTCGGGCAGTATTCAGGTCCTCAATGGAAGGCAGGTTGGTAGCCATTGTTTTTTCTGCAGTTCTAATTCTCCTCTGAAGTCTGTGTCTGTCTTGTTGGGTTGCAGAGCCAAACCAGACAGTTATAGAGGTGCAGATGACAGACTCAATAATTCCTCTGTAGAACTGGATCAGCAGCTCCTTGGGCTGTGTTTTGTTAAAAAAAAAAAAAAAATCAGATCAGACATGTGGGTGCCTCAACCATCACGACATACGATGGAAATTCCAGGTAGCCCTACAGGGTACCTCTCAACTTAAGACCACAATTGAGCCTGAACCATCTGTTGCTAAGCAAGATCGTTGTTAGTTTTGCCCCATTTTACAACTTTCTTGCCACCATTGTTAAATGATTCTGTTGTGGCCCGTCAGCGGCCTGTGCAGTTAGTAGCTGATTCAGACAGCAAGGAGGCTGGTGTGGTGCTGCGCCAGCAGCCTGTGCAGCTGGTACTCAAGTCAGACAATGAGGAGGCTGGAGAAGATGTGGTGCCTGAAGCGGGGATTCAGCCAGGGCCTTCAGAACCTCCAGAAGCTCCCTTAAGTGAAGAGGACGAAGAGGAGGAGCTTCTTCTCGATGCACGGACACGCAGAGCTGCCAAAAGGCAGGAGTGGCTCCTCAGGAGGAGGTCTCCTCGAGAGTAAGACTTGGGGCTAATTGGCCACTCCCTTAGCCTATTTAAGGAGGAACGCCGACTGAAGCAATTTGCAGGGAACAACTTCGTTCACATACCTTCGTGTCTTGTCTTGCTTACCTTATCAGCTTCCTGCAAATTGCTTCTGGGCATTCTGCCAACCACAGTAAGCTTTCAGTTATTATTCTTTGAATTCTTGGCGGCTGTTAATGCAGTTAATGAACAGCCATTATTGTAAAAAACTGGTTTATTTAGTAACCTAAGGTTTGAACGGACTTTGTGTGTGCTGCGTTCTTTGGAGTCCGTAGCTGGAGCAGAACAGATTCACTGCGGTTGTTAAGTTAGTCACACGGTTGTTAAGCGAATCCGGGGCTTCCCCATTGACTTGGCTGGTCAGAAGGTCACCCAAGGGGATCATATGACCTTCAGGTCACTGCAACCGTCCTAAATGTGAATCAGTTGTCAAGCATCTGAGTGTAAATCGTGTGACTGTGAGGATGCTACAATGGTCGTGAGTGTGAAAATCGATCATAAGTGCCACTCAGTGGTGGGTTCCTCCCGGTTCGACCCGGTTCTCCCGAGCTGGTAGTGGTTCTCCCGAGCCAGTAGCGGTAGCGGTGACGATATGACGTCGTCGAACCGGTTCTCCCGGTTCACCCTGGTTGGATGCAGGGATGGGTTCTATTTACCTTTACTACTGGTTCGCTGTGGGGCTGGACACATGCACAGAAGTGTTTTGATGATGTCAGGGTGAGTAGGCGGAGCCTGCCACTGGTTTTACTACCAGTTCTATAGAACCAGTGGGAACCGGGGACAATCCACCACTGGTTGATGTTGAAAACTTCCTGTACTTGCATTTGTTTACGTTCTTGTAGGATGCCAACGCCCACACCAGTCCAAGAAGAGATCCCTGCGACTGGAGGGCTATGCTTCGGCCTCCGTCGCGCTGTCAGCACCGAACCCAGCAGCCAGCCACGTCCACCAGGTACTTCAACAGCTACTCCCAGGGAGACCAAGGGAAACGGAAACGCCCCCAAAGCAGCAGTAGCAGCGGCAATGAGAGAACCAGCGACCTGGCCAATGAGTTTTCTGAATTCGTGGACTTCTTAGCTGACGAGGACGTCCTGCAGAGCCTTCAGCAGATTGTGGAAGACGCCGTCCAGAAGCTCCGCGACGTGACGTCCCAAAGCGGGGAGCCAATCTTTGACTTCCAGGAGGAATCTGCCTCCAGCGTAGAGAGTGAGACGTGGTCGTATTCCTACAGTTCAACGTGTTCCCAGTTCAAATACCAAACCACGACCACCATGTCCACCATGTCCAGCTCGGACGATGACCAGGAAAAGCACTTTATGAGCCCGGAGTCGTCAAAGATAGGGGGCAAAATTTGCCTCTTGGATAAATATGTCTCCAGGCTCCCCAAAGTTGGAAAGCAAGCTGCTCAGGAACTGTCAGGAGGAATCCATGCTGAGGTATTTCTAAATTCTTTGGAAGGATTTTTTTTCATGGGCCCAAAGTTCTGAGGTTTGGATCTGCCGGGGGGGGGGATCCTGTGCCAGAAAAGGAATTTTTGCCTCAAATTTTCAATCCCTGGTACTAAAAAGGCTCAGGGCATGGAGCAGGGGGCCTCCAACCTTCGCCATTTTAAAACTTGTGGACTTCAACTCCCAGAATTCCCTAGCCAGCCATGCCTGGCTACCTGGGGAATTCTGGGAGTTGAAATCCACAAGTCTTAAAGTTGCCACAGTTGTGGAGAATCCTGGCATAGAGAACCGAGGCCATGATTGAGCTGGGTTGGTGGGAAATCTGCAAATCATTTGATGTAACGGGAATGCAGGTAGTCCTCGACTTAGACCACAACGGAGCCCCAAATTACTGCCGCTAAGCCAATCTGTTGTGAAAGCCACAGTTGCTAAGTGAATCACTGCAGTCGTTAAATTAGCCACACGGTTGTTAAGTGAATCTGACTTCCCCGTGGATTTTGCCTGTCAAAAGGGTCGCGAAGGATGATCACATGACCCCAGGGCACTGCAACCGTCATAACTATAAAGCAGTTGCCGAGAGTCCAAATTCTGATCACACATGACCTTGGGATTGCTTCAAGGGTCGTAAGTGTGAGAAGCAGATATAAGTCACTTTTTTAAAATGCTGTTGTAACGTCAAACAGTCAACAAATGATTAAGTCAAGGTCTACCTACAATCTTGAGGAATGGGATGAAGAGGTAGAATTGGGTGTGACTCACTTAGTAACCGCCTTGCTTAGCAAGAGAAATGTTGCTCCCAATTGCGGTCATAAGTCGAGGACTACCCCTATAGGAAGCAGGCTCTGTCTCTTTCCTACTTCTTCCTCCCCTGTTCCCGAAGGACTAGAATGAATTTTTTTTTCCTCTGCTGATTATTTTCCTGTTCTCGTTTTTTTCTTCTTCCCTGTTCCTAGTCGTTTTCCGAACAGTCGGGAGAAAGTTATTTCCAACAGCAACATTTGCACATCTGGGCTAAATCGTTCGAGCATCCCCGGAGGGAGTTCTTCGCCAAGTTCCAGAGAACCTTCCCTCAAGATTCATTGTCTTTCGAATCACTCCACAAGGAAATCACCAACGTCTTGAAACGGCCGATGCGACATGGCCCTCCCATGCATTACATCTGTCACGACCACTTGCATGCCTTCTTGGAAGAAACCAAGGTCTTGGCCGGTCTCCAGGACGTCATCAACCAAGCAGTTCTCAAAGTTTTGGAGGCCACCATGTTGGGGGGGATCCCGTTCCTCGATCTGTCGGATGACCATGGGTACCCTACGTCCTGGGATTCCGAGGAGGAGGAAGAAGAGGAGTTTAGCGTCTTGGAGAGTTACGAAAGCGAAGTATCCGAGGAATCTGAAGAACCCTCAGATGGGATCTGCAAGAGGAAGGGGAAGAAGAAGAAAGCTGTCTCAGAGGATGGGAAACCTGATCTCCCCAAATCCAAACAGAAGCCCGCGACTCCGGAGGAAGGTGCTCGCAAGCCCAAGTACGTCCCGCCGCCGCTCTCCAAAACAAAGGAAACCCCAACCAAGACAAGATACGTCCCACCTCCCCTCCCGAAATCAAAGAAGAAACAAGAGCCAAGCCAGGCCGAAACAGAGACAACCAAATCGGTAATTGCTGGGGATTAGGATTAGGAATAGAATAGAGAATAGAATAGAATAGAATAGAATAGAATAGAATAGAATAGAAAGAATAGAATAGAATAGAATAGAATAGAATAGAATAGAATAGAATAGAATAGGAAAGAGCTAGAACTAAGGAGAAATTTCCTGACAGTGAGAACCATTAATCAATGGAATGGCTTTCTTTCAGAAGTCATGGGGCCTTGGAGGTCTTCTAGTCCAACCCCCTGCTCAGGCAGGAAGCTCTATACCATATCAGACAAATGGTTGTTCAATCTCTTCTTTAAAACTTCCAATGTTGGACCATTTACAACTTCTGGAGGCAAGTTGTTCCACTGATTAAATGTTCTCACTGTCAGGAAATTTCTCTTTAGTTCTAGGTTGTTTCTCTCCTTGATCAGTTTCCATCCGTTGCTTCTTGTCCTGCCTTCAGGTGCTTTGGAGAATAGCCCCCTTCTTTTTTGTGGCAGCTCCTGAGATATTGGAAGACTGCTATCATGTCACCCCTGGTCCTCCTTTTCACCAAACTAGACATACCCAATTCCAGCAACCGTTCTTTATATGTTTTAGCCTCCAGTACCCTAGTCATTTCTTTTCTAAAGTTTGGGAGACACCAAGACACCAAATTCAAAGTGTCTGAGCCACCGATCCCAGAATGCTGAGCTGTATGGGCTAAGGATACTGGGAAGTGGGCTGCTCATCCATTTTGGAGGCCTTGTTCCAGTGGGACTGCATCATGGCATGGAACTGGCTGACCATCTCAGCCCGCTGAGCCTCCAGATGCCGGTACCTGGACTTGCACGTCTGCAGGTCTTCCCTCTGCTTGGAAAGCCTATGCTCGTAGTCCTCAGTGAGGTGCTTCTGCTGAGCCTCCTTCTCGGTCCAATCCAATTTGAACTGAACCAGCTGTTTTGCTAACTCTTTCTCGTGGTGGCTGCTTAGCTCCAACAACTGCTTCTTGTTGGGGCCCTAAGGAGCCCAGGCGGGCAGGCGGAGTGTGTCTGGGAAGGAAGGGGTGAGTAGAGGCTGGCAAGGTGCCCCTCGACATGAGTGAGATCAAGATGGCCACGTCCACCCAGTCACATGACCACCTAGCCACGACCACCCAGCCGGTTATTAGGCAGATCATATTAGTGGTCCGCGGGATTTAAAATTATGAATTTAGTGGTCCCTGAGGTCCGAAAGGTTGGTGACCCCTGCTTTAAACTTTTTTTCTCCCATTTTTTCAGACAAGGCATGCCATCACTCCAAAAGACATCAAACGGGCCCGTCTTCAGGGCAAACCCGTTCCGAAGCAGTCCATCATCGACTTCTTGATCGAAAATGCTGCCAAGCTGATCTTGTACAAGTACAATTACGAAACCCTCCTTTCTGAGAAACTGGGTTTCATCTCGGTCCCGGTTACCAAGGTTCTTCTGGAGATCATGTTTGGCTACAAGAAAATCAAGGGCAGCGGGATACGCCTGTCTTCTCAGATTGACTGGACCAAAGTCTACGACGAGGTCTACAAGAAGCGGCCCCCCAAACCCAAAGTGCCCAAACAGGAGAAGAAGAAGAAAGGCGAAGAGAAGAAAGAGAAGAAAGCTGGGGAGAAGAAAAAAACGGACGAGAAGAAGAGCTTGCTCATAAAACCACTAGACACGCCCAAAGGAAAAGTGATCGGCACGAAGGTGGCTGGAGAACATGGCACCAAAAAACATGGCTTATCGGAGCAAGGGGAACTGGAGATCTTTGAAATCGTCCCTCCCCAGTTCCCATCTGATGCTGAACCGGCCTCTGCCGATGAGAATAACGGCACCCAACCGACAAGCTCGAAGTTATCTCCTTCCAGTACCATGACGGGGGATCATCCTAAGAAATCAGGAATTCAGGAATTGGAGAAAACGCCTTCATCTCTTGGTACTCCAAAGCAATCGTTCTCCAACCGAAAAGTTACCTCTGCTGTTCTGTTACCAGAGGTGGATCCCACCAGCCAGGGTTCCGAAGTAAAGGGGAATAAAACTCCGAAGTCTAGCTTAGCTGTAGAAGGGAGCAAAACCGTGCTTCCTAAAATCTGAAATTCAGCTTCTGTCTGATAAATAAAGGATATACGTTTCTCTACGGTCCTGTGAACGTCAGATCAGTGCCTTCCCCTCCACCGAATCTAACCAGTATCTCGTCCGGAAGACGACCAGCCTGTTGAACTTTCCAATATTTTGAGTTTTTTGTTTTTTGTTTATTCATGAAATGTTGAGTTTTACTCTTCAGAATTGATCCTCTCTTCCCTCTGGTTAGAGATGTCTTGCATTAAAAAGCCTTTTTTTTCCCCCTTGGCTTCCCATCTATCCTATACTTTGTTTTATCCATTTCACAAAAGCCTCCTTAGAAGGGAATATTGGAACCGTGGGATCCTTGGTGCTCTCTGGAGCTTGGTGGTTTTCTTGCAGGCGTTTCGTGACCCAGCTAGGTAACGTCACCAATGCTAGAAGGGAGTGGGGTTTGCTCTCTTGTCACTGCATATAAAGAGTGCCACCTCCCAGTTAGGAAAGATCAGTTTCTCAGAGAATAGGAACACACTGTGCAAAAACTTCAATTTAACCTGAATGGTTCTCTATTCATGTATTTGCTCTGTTGTCTTTTTTTTCCTTTTTCTTTCTTTCTTTCTCTTTCTTTTTCTTTCCTTTCTTTCTTTTTCTTTTTCTTTTTTTCTCCTCTTCTTTTTTCCCTTCTTTTTTCTTTTTTTCCCTTTCCTTCTTTGTTTTTCCCCTTTTTCTTTTTTTTTTCTTTCTTATATTCATTTCTATTTTTCTTTCTTTCTCCTCTCTTCTCTTCCCTTTGTTTTTCCCTTTTATTTTTCTTTCTTTCTTTTTTCCCTTTCCTTCTTTCTTTTTTTGTCCCATTCTTTTTCTCTTTCCCCCTTTCCTTCTTTGTTTTTCCCCTTCTTTCTTCTTCCCCTTTCTTTCTTATATTTCTATATTTCTTTTTTCTCCTCTCTTCTCTGTTTTTCCCTTCTTTTTCTCCTTTTCTTTCTTTTTCTTTCTCTTTTTTCCCTTTCCTTCTCTTTCTTTTTGTCCCATTCTTTCTCTTTTTTCTTTCTTTTTCCCCCTTTCCTTCTCTTTCTCATTCTCTATTTCTTTCTCTTTTTCCCTTGTTTTTCTCTTCCTTCCTTCCTTCCTTTTCTTTTTGTCTTTTCTTTCACCCAGGGATTAAAGTGGCATGCCAGTTGACATAACACACCAAGAAACAGCTCCCTTTTTAATCTTTCAACACCCTAAGAACGCCCGTCTCGTTCACTAAAGCACCAGAGCAGGAACACTTAATCCCTCAAAACAGGAGGCATTTGAATAAGAGCCTTTATTTGAACCAAATTAAAAGTTCATGTTGAGGGAAGGAGGGATCAGAACCGGTTTCGTCTTCAGTGCGCAGGCGCCAATTTGCGCCCCCCCCCCCACTTCCTCCTCCCATCCACTCTTTCCTCCCTCAGCTTTCCCGCCCGACTCCGCCCCTTTCCTGTCCGCCACGCCGCCGCAGCTGATTGGCTGCCCCGCCGCGCGCCTCGAGCCTATCAGCTCCCTAGCGTCGCGGGGCCGGAACACGTGCTCCGTGTTGGCAGCCGCGGATTGGCTGCCGCCGAGCGCCGGTACCGGAAACGGTTTTCTGAGGTAAAGTTCGAGCTGTCGCCGCCGCCGTCGTCGCCGCCACGGCCGACCAGCCGGAGGAAGCCTCGGAAGGAGCGGAGATGAGGCGACCGCGCGGCGGCGCTTCTTCCTCGGCCAGGCCCGGCTCGTTGTTGCTGCTGCTGCTGCCGTTGCTGGCTTGCGGGCCGAGCCGGGCGAAGGAGGCCGAAGCGGGCGCTGTCACTTGCGGCTCGGTGCTGAAGCTGCTCAACACGCGGCACAACGTGCGGCTCCACTCGCACGAGGTCAAGTACGGATCCGGTGAGAAGCCACGGAGACTGCAAACTCCCAGAATCCCCAGCCTGGGGAAAGGAGGAAGAGGAGTGGGGCCTCTTTCAGATAGACAGCTCCTGAACGGGGAGGCTCTGTTACGAAATGTGTGTGTGGGGGGGGCGCTATGGGGAAAGATGGGCCTAAGTGCTTGGGAGTGGAGGGGTTAATTGGTGCCTTGTATTAGGATAGGCAGCTCCTGAATGGGGAGGCTCTATCATGAATGGGGGCTATTGCGAAATATGGGCCTAAGCGCTTTAGTGGGGTGGGGTGGGGGATTGATGGTGCCTGACATTCAGATAGACATCTCCTGATTGGGGAGGCTCTATCAGGAGTTGCTCCAAAGAGCATAAGCCCCTTGGGGGGGGGTGATGATGCCTTGCATTCAGATAGACAGGAGGAGGAGTGGGGCTTCTTTCAGATAGACAGCTCCTGAATGGGGGGGGGGGCTCTGTTACGAAATGTGGGGGAAGGGGCGCTATTAGGAAAGATGAGCCTAAGTGCTTGGGGGTGGGGGGTGTTAATGGTGCCTTGCATTCAGATAGACAGCTCCTGAATGGCAAGGCTCTATTATGAATGGGGGATATTGCAAAATATGGGCCTAAGCGCTTTAGTGGGGTGGGGTGGGGGATTGATGGTGCCTTGCATTCAGATAGACAGATGCTGAATGGGGAGGCTCTATCACAGAGGGGAACTACCTGGCAAGATGGGTTTAAGCACACACACACACCGCCTTGGGTGAAATTGCTTATACTTGCTTGAGATAAATAGCTCCTGAATGGGGAGGCTCTATTATGAATGGGGGCTATCAGGAAAGTCCCCTGGGGGTGGGGGTGTTGATGGTACCTTGCATTCAGATAGACAGTTCCTGAATGGGAAGGCTCTGTCATGGATGTGGGCTACCTGGAACAGTTGGCCTAAATCCCTGGGAATAAGGGTGATATTGTTTGGTATTTCAGATAGACAGCTCCTGGACCAGGAGGGTCCCTCATGAATGGTAGCTACAAGGAAAGATGTGTCTGAACCCCCCCTTGGGTGGAGGAAGCTGTTGGCTTGTATTTCAGATAGGCAGCTCCTGAATAGGAAGGCGCTACTACAAATGGGTGCTGCCTGCAGAGATGGGTTTAATCCACCCACTCACCCCCCAAGCTAGGCTAGGACTCTTCCCCTGGCATCATCTCTTGGGCTTTTGCCAACCTGTCCATGTAGGGTTTATCGAAGAAGGGCAGCCGTGTGTCTTTTCTCCGTGAATAAAATCAGGAAATAAAACCCATAAGCTGCCGTGGCTGAGTGCTACGTTTAACAGGGAAGGCGGGTAGTGTACAAAATGGGCTTTATATAGGGTTGGAGGGCGTTTGCTTTGTTTCTTCAATCTCTGGAAAGCTAATAAACCTCATTACTATTATGCTTATTATTGCTATACCAAGCAGGTCTATTTATTATGGCTACCAGTTTGTTCCTACTGTTCCCAGACAGTATTTCTGGATAAAGAGGAGGGGAAAAAAATAAACAATAACCTCTGTAGATTGCTTCTGGCTATGAAGTTTCGACATCAATTTTTAAGAAACCAGTTCGGTCAGACCAGAGTTTCCATCGAATCGAATCACCTTTTTTGGAGTGATTGGTGCAATATCTAGGGGAAAGTCCCTTGTCTGTCATTCACAGCTAGAACGGCTTCTGTATTGTTGATGTTCTACGTGTACATTTGGAGACATTATTGAAATTTGACAGAGCTGCCAGTGTGAAAAGTAAACAGTAAAAACCCTGTACAGAGAGATTTCATTTAGCATTCTTATTTGCGGTTGATGGATCAGGAAAAAGGAAAAGGAAAAAATGAATGCAGTGCAACGTCATTATTGTGTTTTTTGTCCATTCTTCTTGGGAACAAATAACGTCAGCGCAACAATTCACTGACAAGAGAATAATTGTTTTGTTGTTAGGTAGTGGTCAGCAGTCAGTGACTGGAGTCGAAGGATCAGATGATGCTAACAGCTATTGGCGGATCAGGGGCAGAAGTGACGGATCCTGCCAACGAGGAATACCAGTAAAATGCGGGCAGTCCGTCCGCCTTACTCATGTTAACACAGGGAAGAATCTGCACACCCATCACTTCTCATCACCGCTCTCCAACAACCAGGTAAAACTGGAGTACTTCCACCTATTTCACACCTGATGTATTTCAGCTGCGTGGATACCTTTAAATCCAATTGATTCTACTGTTGAGTTGGGAGTTTTAGGAAGGATGCTTATCTGGTCAAAAGATTCAATTGTGCTTTTTTTAATTCGTTATCTACCATTTGACAGTACATATATACAGCAGCGGCCCCTAACCTCTTGGGCACCAGGGACTGGTTCCATGGAGAGAGAACTGGAGGGGGCATGATTTCGTGTGCTGCCTGCATCCCAGACCGAATGGGGCACCCCTTGCTTGTGCAGCCCACTTTCTGGCATGCCGGGGGATCCCGATATACAGCATAACTCTATAGAAATTTAAGAAGTCTTTGCTTGATTTTTTATTTATTTTTTGCTTTTGATGAGATGGTGCCTTCAATTTTGTGAATTTTTTTAATGAATTTACGACACGTTCATGAACCGTTTTTGATAATTCCAACGTTAAAGATCCTTAAAGCTTGTTTGAGGTATTCTGTTTGTTTCCTACTGGGCAAAAATACATTTCCAACATGATTTGTACTCAGATATATTTACACAAATGGCAAGATGTCTCTAATTCCATTCAAAGGACTGCTTTGTAGAAGTAGAATATAATACCTCCCCCCCCCCCAGTACAATTTGTCACTATTTTTGTCAGGCCCAAACAGCCAGTCCCACTCCTGTAAAGTTCAAGCTACTTTATTATATTCTGCCCATAATATAGAAATCTCCCCAGTCTGGCAACCTTTTCTATGGAACATTTAGATAAGGCTGGGGGAGGGGTCAGTCTTTTCTGCCTGCTTGAGTTCTCCCTGCTGAGCACTTCCCAACATTTTCACTACTATTTATATTAGTAACTGCTCTGGAAATATATATATAGAACAAGAGAATGTGTGAGTGATAACTCCGTACCTCTGTCATTAACATTCTACTTGACATTGGTGTGAGTGGTTTGTTAATGGTGTTATACAGTGTGTACATTGCGGTTTAGACTATCAAAGTGTTTCATAGCTATTTGTAACTGATATAACAATCTGATTATTTCTACTGACTGAAACTGCTACAGGGCTGAGGGAAAGTACTTTATCTAAAGCAACATTTTTTTTTTTTGCTCCCAGTTTCTGTTTGTTTTTTGTAGGCATTAGCTGCAAACCTTTGATGCCTTAAAAAGGGATAAAGTTGCTCTAGAAAATATTGACTTAAGTCACCGTGCACTAAAGCAGAGCAAGTGTATATACTCATGATTTAAAGCCATTTGAAGTTCATGCTTCAGCAAGCCGCAGTATACATGTAATTTGAATCAGATCATTATTTCAAAGCTAATAAAAGTCCTGATCCCAATTTATCATTTCTTACCTGGGTTGCTGTCTTTCAAATCACAATAACTGTGTTCACACTGCAGGCTAAATCAACACAATTTAGCTCAGGATTTCCTAACTTTAGATCTGTGGGCTTCAATTCCCAGAATTCCCCAGACATCTTGCTGGCTGGGGAATTCTGGGAGTTGAAGTCCACAGATCTTAAAAGTTGCAAGATTAAGGTCTTGTCCATCCAGGATCGTAAACCGTCGCGTGGCAGCTTTGTCTTGCCGTTTGCAGACTGTGGCTTAACAGTTCAGTTTATAGTGTAAAACCCAGCTTAAATCACACATGCGTCTTCACAACCATCTTTTTCTCCCACCACCCTGTTTCTGCCTTTGACAGGAAGTGAGTGCCTTTGGCGATGACGGTGAAGGGGATGATTTAGACGTGTGGACAGTTCAGTGCAGCGGAACCTTCTGGGAGCGAGACGACGCAGTGCGTTTCAAGCACGTGGGAACTGATGTGTTCCTTTCAGTGACGGGGGAACAATACGGCCACCCCATCCGGGGTCAGCGGGAAGTTCACGGGATGCATTCCGCTAATCACCACAACTACTGGAAAGCCATGGAGGGGGTTTTCATCAAGCCCAACTCGGACTCCACGAAGCATGACGAACTCTGAATATGTGCTGATGAGTGTTTCCTCCCCTCCAACCCCCTCAAATTCCCCTCCCTCAAAGCTCAGCATCTTAAAAAGGCATGGAGACGCCTTTGGGAGGGCAGTGTCTCATGCTTCATTCTGAATGATCTAAATCCGACTGGTTCCTCTTCCCTTTTCCCTACCATTTCCTCTTCCTGTCTCGTTCAATTGCCCCCCCACCCAGTTTTTTTTCCCCCCTGAAGGAAAGAAAAGTGATTTGCTGTCTATATTCTTAAATTCCGAGGTGCAATAAAACCTAACTTTTGTAATTCTTTCTCATTGAATAGTCTCGAAATAATGTGCCCATCAGCTGTCACGGATGCTGCGTTCCTGATTGTCCATCAAAAGCTTATTCGGTCAGCTAATTAACTCTGTCCTTCGAAAAGCCCATGGCAGGGGAAGACCAGGAGAAGATGGATAGAAAAATATATATATTAAAAAACAAATTATTTAGATCAACATCCCCCCCCACTTGCTCTCACCCCTCTGATCCATCTGATACTTCACACAACCTTTAGTGTTATTCATTTATTTTATCTTAAATTTCCGTGGGAAATTGGCAACCTGCTGGTGTTTTTTTTTCCTGCTGATAAGAAACAGTTGCTTGTAAAGGTAAAGGTTCCCCTCGCACATATGTGCTAGTCGATCCCAACTCTAGGGGGCGGTGCTCATCTCCGTTTCAAAGCCGAAGAGCCAGCACTGTCCGAAGACGTCTCCGTGGTCATGTGGCCGGCATGACTCCGCACCAAAGGCGCACGGAACGCTGTTCCCTCCCACCAAAGGTGGTCCCTGTTTTTCTACTTGCATTTTTTACGTGCTTTCGAACTGCTAGGTTGGCAGAAGCTGGGACAAGGAACGGGAGCTCACCCCATTATGCAGCACTAGGGACTCGAACCGCTGAACTGCCGACCTTTCGATCGACAAACTCAGCTTCTTAGCCACTGAGACACCGCTTAAAGAATTTATTCCATGAAGAAAAGGAATAAAGCTTTCCACAAAGTGCTTTAAGGAAATCCAGAACAAGCCATGCAAGGACAAGTGAAATTGCTATAAAATGTTAGGACACACGGTTGCCGCGCCCTCTTTTGTGTTCCTCCATTCCATTCTGGTGTGCGTATAAAGATTCAGCCTGGTGCAGTGGGAACTAGCAATTCAAGGCTACAGAAAACCATTCAAAGACACTCCCCTTGCCTTCCAGGACTTTCAAGCGAATAGCCAACATACCTGTGAACTCGAAACAGTGGGAAGAAAAAACTTTTTAAAAAAAGTTTTTAATTCTGGAGTCTCTGATTTATTTGCCCTGCGATCGGCTGAAAAGTTCCTCCCAAATCTAACCAAGTGGTAAATTAAGGATTAAGTGTCCAGAAATCTGAAACTTCACTGCCCAGCCTAGGTGTGACGCTTCACGTTGTCTTCCCCTGCCTTGACTTGCTGTGGGTTTTTTTTTCTTTTTTTTTCTTTTTTTTTCTTTTTTTTTCATTCCATTGGTCGGTCGACATTCTGTCATCGTCAACATTGCTCTGAATTTTCTTTCTAAGATTTTTTTCCCCCTCCCCCTTGAGGACTTCTGTATATCTTCAAATCCATCCTCGAATCTTCTCATGTCCCCTTCCTTGTAAGGGGACGATGCATTTGAGGGGAAACATAAAGACTACATGAAGTGAAAGTGCATTAGATTATTCCCAAGTATAAATATTTCACGGGCTTATGATTTCTCCTTTCTGATTGTGACCCCTTGGTGGAATTACTCCAGCAGTGAAATCATCTCCGAGGCTGTAGATGGGAGCACGCCCCATGCCTGGAGCTTTTTTAATGAAAGTCGCAGTGTCTGACTCACCAAGTTCACATATTTGGGGTGAAATTCCCCTGGCAAACAAGGAAATTTGCCAGAAAATCCTTCCAGGTTTTCTTATAAAACGCTTGGTTGATCCTTACCGTTTGTTCTCAATGTGAATTTCGAGAGCCAAAGTGGTAGACCTCAGCTTAAAGCCATTCGTTCCAAAGGCACCGGAAAAGTGACTTATGACAGTTTTTCAAACTTTTAACAATCATTGCAGCATCCTCATGGCCGTGTGATCTAAACTCGGATCAACTTGGCAACTGGTTCTTATTTATGACCGTCGCACCGTCCTGGAGTCACGCGATCACTTTTTTGCGACCTTCTGAAAAGCAAAGTCAACAGGGAAGCTAGTAACAATCAGAGTTTCCTACCTGAGCAGGGGGCTGGACTAGAAGACCTCCAAGGTCCCTTCCAACTCTTGTTATTCCGATCGCATGATTCGCTTATCTACCGCAGTGAATCACTGAACAGCTGTGGCAAAATAGGTCGTAGAATGGGGCAAAACTCAACTGAACAGCTGCTGTGGTTAGCGGTGGAAATTTTAGGCTCAACTGTAGTCGGAAGTCAAGAACTACCTGTATGTGACTTGCACAAGGACCCTTGCACTGGATTATTTGGAAGAAAGCTCTGGAATTTTGACGGTGCTTTTGAGAAAATGCTCGGGAACCAGCCACAAAAAAGATTCATAACTTTTATTTAGACATGTCTGGTTCCGTGTACAAAACTCGTATCGACCCAGCGACGTAAACGGTGAAGCCAAATGAATTTATTTTCATTTATTGAATAAATTGAATCCGCCATCCACCTCGCTGTCCAAAGTGACGCTGGGCAACTTACAAGTGTAATCAAAACACAAACGCTATTAGAAATAGAAGAGAGAGGGAGGGAAGAGGAAAAATCAAATCGGACCATAGTATAGTCTTTATTGTCATTGTAAAGCAGGGGTCAGCAACCTGTGGCTCTGGAGCTGCATGTGGCTCTTTCACCCCTCTGCTGCAGCTCTCCTGTCACTCAAAATATGCACCACAACCGCCAATGTGCGACAGCCGCCGGCACGTGATCTATTGAGCTTTTCAACTCCGGTAGGCCAACCATGGATAAATCCAAGAAAAGAAAACTTTCAGAAGAAAACAATGTTTAATTCAATTACATATGCTAGTTTTGTGGCTGCTCAAGAAATAGGCACGGGAAGGGTTTTGTGGCTCCCGGTGTTTTCTTTTATGTGGGAAACGGGTCCAAATGGCTCTTTGAGTGTTTAAGGTTGCTGACCCCTGCTGTAAACAGTGGGTTTCAAAAATTTTTACTATCGGTTCTGTGGGTGTGGCTTGGTGGGCGTGTAAAATCTCCATTCCCACCCCACTCCAGGGGAAGGTTACTGCAAAATCCCCATTTCCTCCCAATCAGCTGGGAATTGGAAGGCAGAGAATAGATGGGGGGGCGGAGCCAGTCAGAATTTTTACTACTGAACTAGTCCGAACTACAGGAAGGAAGGAAGGAAGAAGAGGAGGAAAAGAAAGATTTGTTTATTTTAAGAATGAATACAAGGCATGAAATCTATTTAGGAAATGCTGACATGCCCAGTTATTCTATCTTCTGTTGTGCAAATGCAAACCAAGAAAAATCCCACGGCTATACAACTGAAATAATCCCAACAGCTATAACAGGATTGACTTCTATAAAGTTCTTTATAACCGCAGAAATTAGCTGGAATTCACAAATATTTTTTCCCCCCTCTTCTTTTCCCTCACAGCCGTAGCCAGATGTCCCATCTGTTTTGCAGAAGTCACAAGCTCCGAAGATCCTAACTAAGCTTCCCACACCCCCACTGTTTTTTTTTATCTGGGTGCAAATATGCTAATTTAATCCTCTTAATCCATGTAGCTAATTTAAGTCTCGCTGATTTCCATGGTTCTGTGCAAAGGATGACTACATCTGGATCCAGGCTCAGTGGTGTGTTGTTGTTTTTTTATCACCCCCTCTGGATACACAGTAATCTACTTTAAAAGACATGATTACATACACAAAGAAGAAGAAGAAAAGCAGAAATATAAACTGCGCTTTCTTTTGATTTTGCCTTTTACTCTAAATTTGCGAAGTCTTTTTTCTGTCTTGCATTTTATACTCTTGATGCAGCCTTGCAACTAATCGATCATGTATCATTGTTATTACACAAAGCAAAAGGATGGTTACAGATTTAGTAACAGTAACAGAGTTGGGACCTTGGAGGTCATCTAATCCAACCCCTGCTCACACAAGAGACCTATACTAGGGATTCGAACCGCCGAACTCCTGACCTTTCTGATCGACAAGCTCAGCGTCTTAGCCACTGAGCCACCTAGCCAGACTTATTTATTTATTTACTTACTTTTTTTTTTTAATTTGATTTATATGCCGCCCTTCTCCGGAGACTCAGGGCGGCTTACAATGCGTTAAGCAATAGCCTTCATACTTTTGTATATTTATACAAAGTCAGCTTATTGCCCCCACAAACTGGGTCCTCATTTAACCTACCTTAGAAAGGATGGAAGGCTGAGTCAACCTTGAGCCTGGTAAGATTCGAACCTGCAGAAATTGCAGGCAGCTGTGTTAATAACAGGGTGCATTAAACCATTGTACTACCAAGGCTCTTGACTTGCTGACTTACTCTGTATACTTCAAATATACATTTCTTGGTTGTTGTTGTTTTAAAAAATTTTTAGAACCTAAATCCACTTTAGCAAAAATGGAGCAAGATAGTAACCATAAAGCACATCATTCCAGCTTCGAGTATACCAATCAAAATAAGCTTAATATAATTTCTCCATCTAAATGCACCCTGTGACATCTCTTTTCCAATATTTAAATTCTGCATCCGTTTGATCATACAGTCTGACTTGTTCAAACTCTGAGCCATACAGGACTTTCTAAATACAACTCAGCAATTTATTTATATTTTTAAAATCTCGCCTTTATTATTTTTATAAATAACTCAAGGCAGGAAATATACACAACGCCCCTTCCTTCTCCTATCTTCCTCACAATAACAACAACCCTGTGAGGTGTTGCAAGATAATAGAATAGAATTAGAATAGAATAGAATAGAATAGAATAGAATAGAATAGAATAGAATAGAATAGAAAAAAGAATAGAATAGAATAGAATAGAATAGAATAGAATAGAATAGAATAGAATAGAATAGAATTCTTTATTGGCCAAGTGTGATTGGACACACAAGGAATTAGTCTTTGGTGTATATGCTCTCAGTGTACATGAGAATAAAATACATTCATTGAGAATAAAAAATACAACACTTAGTGATAGTTAAGGTTACTAATAAGCAATCAAATCATACTAGGAAACAAAAACAATATAAATTGAAAGATACAAGCAACATTGGTTATAGTCATAAGTGGGAAGAGATAGATACTAGTAAGGAAGAGAAGAAGAATAGTAAT